ACCTGAGTCTCCTAAGCAAGTATCATCCAGGTGTACCCCTAAGTACTTGTAGGAATGTACGCCCTCTATGTCCTCACCCTGGATGGAAACAGGGTTCAGCGGAGACGTATTCCTTCGAAAGTCGAAGCTCATTTCTTTAGTCTTGCCAAAGCCAATTTATAGATGGAGATTATTAGGAGGACATGACTGGTAAAGGCCGGGACACTAGGATAACACCCCTAATCCTTTCGAGAAATGCACTGGGGTTTTTAGAAACCATGGGGAGTCAGGACCTTGGTGTTACGTCTCATCCGAAGGATGGTGCGTTCTTTGCAGTAGTGTCCCCATCAGTTTACAAGGGCATTAGGACCCACTCAGACTGCGGGGTGAGCGCCCCCTACTGGCTGGCCTCTTTAGTACCTCTTCCAGTAGCAACCTTTGATGGTGACAGCACCATTTGGTGATTTCTGTTTTTCCAGCTGTCACTTTTTGAGAGTATTACAAGCCTTCTATTTATTATTTATTCGAACAGAAAACAAAAATCGAGCGTGCGTTTTGGTTGCGGGCTCCCCGTTTCTGATTGTAAACAGTGTGGCTGTGCGGCTGGAACCCAGTCGCGGCCAGTGTGAAAGTTCAGGTGTGCATGTTAACCTGTCCTTCCCATGAGGCAGAAGCGTCCTCATGAGCCTGGCTGCTCCATCACCTGTTGAGCTCTAATTGCATAGCTGCTGGCAGCAGGGGGGGGTGTGTCAACCCCATGATGCTGCTGATGCTGCTGCTGCTGCACGAGTGCCTGTGAGTGGGGGGGGGCTGACCGACGGCTGCCGTTCCAGGAGCAGTTCCTGCAGGAGCGGATCAAGGTGAACGGGAAGGCCGGGAATCTGGGCGGCGGGGCCATCGCCATCGAGAGGAGCAAGAGCAAAATCACAGTCACTTCGGAGGTCCCCTTATCCAAAAGGTCAGGCTGCAGCGCCAGGCTGCCATCTTCTCCCCTTCTGTACTCTTGTCTTGTCTCGGATGAGGCTCAGGTACCTCCCACCTGCTTGTACCCGGGTTTTCATGACTGCCATCCTCATAACAGAGGCAGCTGTTCACCGTTCTTGCATAGTTGCATAATATATTGTTGATCCAGCCAGTAGCTTGTCTGTCTAGCCTTGTCATGAATGGCTGGGCAGCTTGTTCCAGATCCCCGCCACCCCTTACTTCCTGATGCTGATATTAAATATGCTTCTTTTGCATCAGGTTGCTATTCCGTTCCGAGCAGATTTTGGTAAGTGTGAAACCTCTCGCTATCCCTGGGTACGTTAACAACAAACCAGACCGAGAGTCGTACAGTTGCCTCGATACTTGATGGTTTGTTGATAGTTTTCCTCAGCGTTAAATATAACTGGTTGCAGATACTAGCAAACCATTTTAGCTCGCCCTTTTCCATGTTCTGGATGTGAAAGCTAATGATGAATTACCCTTGAAATTTGAAGCAGTTTTTATAAAACCACATGCCATTTTACCATGGAAATTCAGATATCCCAGTTGTGGAGTTGGCTTCTCTCATTTATGGCTAAGCTTACCTCTGGAGGTTAATTGTGCTTCGTTATTAGAAGAAATTCAAATGGTTCCCATAATGTACTCTAAAGGAAATGTATAACGTATTTCATGAAAATGAACATGACAGAATGGTTTCCCAATTGCACAGGGTGTGCTGTCTGTAATAAAAGTCCAAGGAATTCTGGGGTTGCCTTCGTTATTCACCATATTAAAATTTGGTTAATAATCCAGATAAGACAAGAAAAGGTCAATCTCTTCTGAAACTCTATCACAGTGAAGAAAAAAGCAAATCTTACAATTGCAAAAGCAGCAAATCGTTTCCTGGCAACTGAATGGTCATGCAGTTCGTCTGTAAGGAGAAAATTGCCAACCTTGGTTATTGTACTAAATTCTGGATTGTAATTGAAGCTTTGATATGCAGATGACTTCAAACAGTGCAGTTTTTTTTTTAAGAGACTGTTACCTGTCTAAAGTTGGCACCAGAATGTAGTCGTGGTCAGTGACCATTGTCTGCGTGGTGGGCTTCTTACAGCGGAAGCAAAAATCCTTCAGAAAATGTGTGAGCTCTTGGCAGCAGTGTTGAGCAGTGATTAACGTTCGGGACTTGTAACTAGAAGGGTGCGATTTCAGTGTGGACACTGCTGTTGTACCCATTAGGAAAGAACTACACTTAGATTGCTCCAATGCTGTGCTGTGTAAGTGGGTACAAGTGTCAATTAGATAGCACCCCAAACCACTGTGAAAGTACTGTATCCAGTTTACATTTTTGTTCAGTATTTTGGATATTGGCCATTTTTAAAATATGAAGTGCAGAATCAACAACTGAAAGACTGTTGTCTTTTCATACTGTCCAATACACTCTCCATATTGTATAAAATGTCTCCAAAATGAAGTAATGTTTGTACACCTTGTCTGGCACATCAACATCATAGAAACGTTTTTAAAGGTTTTATTTTTGCTTCTAAGCTGTGAAGTACAGGGTTGACCATTCCTTTCTATATCATTATATATTCTGCACTATAGAACGGAGAGCTTTCAGTTCCTTTGGTATCAAAATATTTTCCCTATTTTTCAGTTGCCTGATTGTTTTCTGGATTTTATGAGTACACATTTACTGTTGTTTTACAGCAGATTTATGTTAGACTCTGAGCTATCTGATACTTATCCCTCCATTTTAGTTCATTTCAAATGATAAACTACTTTAAATTATCCATATGTCACTGCTTGTTTAGTTTTGAGATAATCAAGCCCTATATTCTGGGAGAAAATAATGTGTGGTGTAATAAGCAAGAGATCAATCCAATAATTGGTAACACGTTTAATTTAATCTATTCTACATTCTGTGATGGAAGTTGAGGCTTGCCTTGTATTTTTGCCTAATAGCTTAATGTTAGGTTTGTTAATTGCAGTTAATGCTGATACACAGCCTTCAGTTTCCAAAGATAGAAATCTTGGGTATTTACTCACATTACAGTCTTTCAGCAGAAGCCCATGGTTTGTATTTTAGCTTTGTCCTTCAAATATTTATAGTCTCGGGATCTTGCAGATGTATAACCTGTCAGTGCCCTCACTACACTTTCATTGTGAAAGGAAATGATGTGACTGATGTGATTTTCTCTGGAAAGCACTAGGTATTGTTGGCACATGTATTGTAACTGGAACATTTGAAATGTGTCCTTGCATGAAAGGACTTGGGATCAGCCAAGATGGCAGCCTTGATATGTAAGCTAAAAGTCTAAAGCTCCACATATTGAACTGAAACTTTCAGCAACCAAAACCTTTCTAAATTTGTACCTGAAAGGCTGCTGTGATCATTCTTACAGCTGAGACAGGTCATGAAACATTTTGGGGAAAGCAGCCCAGTGTTCAAGAGCTGTCTGTGCAGTCCTTTGTGTAGGTGCTTCTAGAATTACACAGTTGGGTGAATAAAAGTGAAAATTAGGTTGCTGCACAAACCAAGATGAATTCTGTAACATTTAACGCCAGCTGTTTTAAAAACGTTCAGCCTGTTAATTTTGATGGTATGGTGTGAGTAATTCTACTGAGTTTGCCATTACCAGCGATGCAGTGTAAATCCTCTGTATACCAAGATGGCTGCCTGACTGCCATTTTGTTTTCACAACTTGACACTGCATCTGTCTTGGGATCCACTACAATGATTGAATTGGACCTTGGCAGGTTTTATGAATAACCAAAAGCTACATTTTGGATTGGCTTATACCTCCCGAACGTGGTCATCATCTCCTTGGTGAATCTTGGCCAGTTGTGCAAACTGCTCCTGTTCTAGGCCTCTCTGTTATAGTGAATTGGGACATTTATATCAAAACCTAACAAGTTATTTACGTATTTTACCTTCATAACTATCCTTGGAATTCACAGCTGAACCTTAACCTAATAATCTTGTTCACTGGTAAAATAACCAAGCCATAAACAATATATGCACAGTGGTACCAGGAATCCCCCATGAGCTGGTCTTGTTGTGGTGTGATTTAATTGTAACTTGGATTTCTTGGAGCATTCATAATCGGGGCCATCTCATTAATGGAATATGTGCCTAGTATGAAAGTGCCTTTATATTGTACTTGAGGTCTTGGATTTGGGAACAGGTGGCCAAGAACCAGTCCCCTGATTTGGCATTGTACTTATCAGGATCTTCAATGTTTTGTCAAGTACCGCTGCAATGTAATCTTACATTTAAAACCTCTGGCTACATTGTTTTAAGCCTGTACCAACTGTTAAAAGTTTTAGGTGCAACCTAGGACTGAAAACTAGCACTCATGTAGGGATAAGAAGGAAAGCCTAAAATTGTGTCCGCAAACTTGAATGTAATACACATTTCACTTGATGATAGGGTAAAATATTAAATGTTATCGAGCAACCATTGTTTCATTGAAAATGGATGTTTTGAGCGTGAATTTAAATAATTTCTATCCTGAGCATAAGTCTTGAATAAGAAGTGCTTACTGGCTTAAACGTAAATGACATACAGTTCTTTGGAGTAGTGATGGATTAGTTGCGGACTTTTGCTTTAAAATGTAATTTTTCTCTTTTTGAATGTTTGACACTAGCGTGTCTTATAAAAACATGTTAATTGCCAGAAAGTGTCTTCTGCCTTTTCATCTAGTTTCAATTCATGCGCCTTGGTGGTTATAAAGTGCCATCACAGTCTGGATGTGTCATGCAGACGAACAGGTAAAGGTTCATTACATGCTGAATGGAAAAGAAAAACGCAATGTTTCGGCTTCTTAAGGTGTTCTTCAGCCGAAACATTATTTCTTTTCTTTTCCTTTCAGCATGGAATTAGCTTTTACCTGTTTCTTTGCAGCCAACGCATGCTGACGCAGCTCCCAACTCAGAACTTCTACTGACTATATCATTGCATCCATGCATCTGTTTTCTAACTTGATTTATGTTGATGTATTAAAGCATTCTAGCTTCATACACCAGTATAGAGTTGTTTTAAATAGTTTTGCTTCTAGTTACAAGATATCACATTGTATGGAAGTACGTGGCATCTGCACTATACGAACATTTAGTCCCATGTCTTTACACATTACACCGAAAGCTTAACAGTAACCTGTTTACTTTTAGGTTGTTAGAAAAGTTTTTCTTGGCTTTGAAACTTGAGAAAATGGACTAATAAAGGGGATTCAGTCTCATTTGCCAATTCTTAACAGATATTTCTGTTTTAAGCATTGCCTATCAGCAGCAAACAGTTCAAAGAAGAAATTTGGAAATGTCAAGGTAGTAGTACGAACTAAACCACTTGGAAAAAGATATTCCTGTTTTTCCAACAACCAGTAGTTCTGCCTACAAATAGAACCATGTTGCTTTTGGTTTTGTCAGATAGATTGCTTAGTGGATTTGAGTCATTTCTGTAAAGCCCCTCAGACACTGAGTTCATATTTTGATTGAACTTTATTGACTGGGGTCTTGTCACGCTATGCACACTGTGCTTCTGGGATAGGCTCTGGGTGGCTGTGGCTGTTACTGGAAGTAAGCAGCTTTCTGAGAGTGGGTAAATGGCTCAAGCAGTAAAGCCTCACTCCTAAGTGCATGTTGAGCCCTTTGGCCCAAGGGTCATGAGTTCAATGCTCGATCCTGTCATTGCCTGATTGGGTCTGGGATTCTCCAAGCTGTACAGCTAGCAGAGTGTCGCTCCTGTACTGTTGAGGAGGGCTTTCTTCGCTTCCTGGTAAGCTCTGTGGATATCTGGGGGGCCTGCTGGGAGAGAGACGCGTCTTCCCACCTTATTAACACTCCTGTTAGGCAGTTTGGCGTTTTGCGGTGTGTAAACTCCTCAGTTTGCCGATGAATGGTCAATTACGAAGGAGTCATCGTTATTCTCATGACCCACAGGAATCAATACTGTGACCAGTGGCTCCAAAAGTGTTGTGAAATTTAAATTAAGCTTTTAAAAAGTGGCTGTGAATTTGTATTGAATGAAGAGCTTAATGGGATTTAGGTTTATAGGGCAGTGCATTTGCTAGGGCTAGTTTGTCTTCACTCCTGTAAAGGAATAAGTTAAGGTTCATTCTATGCTGAAAAGTAAAAAAAAAAGCACCTTAAGGCTGTGGAGCCTTTTGCTGCAGCTGATGCAGCACCCCATTGGACCCTCGTCAAGCATGCACTTCATGCATGCATGCATGCATGCATATGTGTCCAAATATTTTATTCTGTAGTGCTGACATTTTATGTAGTATGTGGCTCGTCAGCAGAAGAGCCTGTCCTCGGGGAGGAGGTTCATTCATTTGGAATTCCCTCCTTACTGGCAGCTCCATTTGCAAGATGCTTATGATTTCAAGGCCCTTGTTACACCAGTACACACTTTGCCAACATAAATCGTAGCGATCCTTTACCTGTTACACTGCAGTGAATGTGTCCAGTCACACTGCGCAACAGAGTGGCACATTGGATAAAAACTGCTGTTAAGCTGAGTAACATCCAGTCAATTGAAGCTGGTGCTGCTGGAGGAATGGCAGTGGCGCCTCACTGCTTTTCCTCTTGTCTTAGTGAGCCCTCACTATTGATGTGTAAGTAGAGATGTATATGAGGTAGCTTAACCAGAGATTCATCTTTTTGTGAGTAATTGTCCCATTGATTACTGCCTCTGGATTCACTACCAGATCAGGAAAAAAAAAACATGTGATTGACAGCTACCTTTCCTAAAGCTCTAGTAGTCAATGTGCCGAATCCAGGTGGCTGAGATTCGTGTGGTATCCATTTTAACTGTATTTACCAGGGCTGACCGTCTTGAGACACATCAGTGTGTTGAGTGGGTATTGTTTTGAACAGGATTGCAGTCTGCTTTGGCATATCTAGAGGTGTTACTTTGAGCAATCTGGGGGATAGTCGCAAGGGAGAAAACTTGCAAACAGATTGCATTGTGTAGCAATAGGCTACCATTCTTCCATTCATCCTCCTGAGGATGCATGAAAGGGTGCTTAATTGTTTAACAATGCAAATAGCATGACCTTTTCAGAGGGTTTGTCCCAAAATAATTTTCCAAGCCTTTTCTTTTTAACATGCCTCTGCTTTGGAGAGTGGGGAAGTTGGCAAACTGAGAATTTTGATTTGGTAAATTAATTTCAATCACCATAGTTAACATAAGGGATCTGAAAACTTTTTTTGCCATTCCACTAGGGCAAAAAAAATTACCATGCCATTCCAATCAAAGCACAGCTGCCTCTGCTGCTGTTCTGTAAAAAAATATTTGGTATTGCCAGTATTTTTACTTCATGCTCACACGGTTTTTAAGTGCCAGTTAATAATTTGGCCTTACGGCTCTTATGCTACGTGTGTTACTGCGAGAGAACCTGTGGGCACGTTCTTCAGCCACAACCCCTGACCTTGACTTGTTTTAACTTAGAAGTACAACTTTATTTTATGACTTGTTGAAGTAGAAACTGTCAATCCAAATTAATATATGAATCTACTAATTAAATGGGAAGCTTCTTGTCATAATTATTTTGGATTTTTTGTTTGATCTACACTATTCTTAGCTTTCTGGTTTTGCTATTTGCTTTTGTCAAGTGACCCGTCTCCAGAGATGGTCCTGGTTGCCCAAGTCCAGCAAATTATATAGCTTACCATTACATCATCAATTTCTAATGACAGAACAATTTAATTAATTAAGCTTTAATTTGATTTTGCTACAATAAGTAATTTAGAGCTCATTCATGTCAAACGTCAGTATAGGACTAGAATTCCCTTAATTCAACAAATGAGTTGGATAATTGATATAGTCCATTTGTTCCTTAATCTTTAGAAAATAAACAGGTTATTTAGGCTGACTTTTTAGACTTACTGAGCTTCCCCAGGACCAGGGTTAGATTATTCAGACTTAATTGTCTGTTATTGGTCTCCATTTAAAAACATTACAATCCGCTAATTGCAAAATTAGGAACAGTGTTTTTTAATGATTATCTCAGCTGCTGAGTGTTAGGCAGCATTAGTCCCTTGACCAGCGTTTACAAGTGACAGTGATCACTAATCCCTGAGCCTGTGACTATTTTTCTGTCCCACACAGCACACAGTGGCGTGTATATGGTTACCCGTGTCTTGTGAACTTAAATTCATGCCATTCTTTTCAACAGAGTGGAGATCTATGTAGAGTATTTTAAAACTAAAAGTAAATGATTACTATAGTTAATGATATAAACATTTTATACCCAGAGGGTAAAGAATAAGGCTCTGTAAATTAAGATCCAATGAAGAGACAATAAATGTTAATTACCTTATAAAGGGAGTCTTGTCATTGTAAAGTAAACTGAAATCTCAGATTAATTCTCCATTAAATTGAACTGTGACCTGTTGTCTGGTAAACAATTCACTGGAATCTATAAAGGGCAGCTGGTATGAAGCAGATATTTCAAATTGTTTAATTTTTCCTAATGTAAATTGTCATTCAGTTCAGGCATATGAGGTGTTCTGTGAGAATACTCAGGTCCTCTCTGGTATCTAGATTTGTGCTCGGGCAGTGGGCTCTGTCGGAGAAACAAGCTAAATAGGTCATTTTTATGTTGTGTTTTGAACTTGTCATTTGTTCTTGTTTTTGGCCTTTAATCAATTGGACAGCCTGGAAATCGATCAGCCTGTGTTGAGGGTGTTAGGAATTTTATCAATGTTACCCCGAGTTCACAAGCCCCTTCATTCAACCCTGGAATTCACACCTGATCCTTTATTGCTGTGTGCTTTAGGAAAATACATTTCTAGAAGCACATGTTAAGTCCATACTGAACCCACGATCTTGGCCTTTTGAAGCAGCAGAATGAGAATAAAAGGGGTCTCCTGTGTAAATCTAAAAGAGCATTTGATACTGTAATGCCAGTTGGTGCTAGGGTTCTGTTATTCAAAACCCAAAGGGAATGGTTGAGTTTGCTTTGCATTCTCATTTTTTAGATGGTTGAAGCCTTTCCGTGCAATCCACTACTCAGCAGCTGGTGCAAAACAGGTTTACTTTGTCTGCTGAGTCAGCTACATTGAGAGCTGTCTGATGGTGTTGCTTCAGTTTTGGGTGTACTTCTGTAACTGCATGGGGTCGAGCAGTTCTATTCATTTTTAAGCAAGTCCGCGCTGGAAGCTGTGTAGGCTTACCTTGCGATATTCTCTCTACACTAAATCAGAACTGGAGTATAATGAAGCCCTAACCTTGTTTTAAGACTGTCTTTCTCCCCCCCTTGGCTTGTAGGTATCTGAAATACCTGACAAAGAAGTACCTCAAGAAGAACAACCTGCGAGACTGGCTGCGCGTGGTAGCTAACACCAAGGAGAGCTACGAGCTGCGCTACTTCCAGATTAACCAGGACGAAGAGGAGGAGGAGGATGAGGATTAAGCCTTCTCAGCTGTATCAATTTTGTATATTCAATAAACAGTCATGAGACAACTGATCTGTCCTCTGTTTGCTTTGAATGAAGGAGCTTCTAAAAAAAGAAATAATCTCTTACCGATGTGGGTTTTTCAGCTTTGAACTGAAAACTGCTTGTGCTTGTTGGTTTTAAATGGCCATCGGTCCTTGTGGTGCTGATTGCTGTAGGAGAGATGGATCATCGTAGGATCCCAAGATTTATTTAAACGAGTGTTATCAGGTTTAAAAGCGACAAAAACCTTGGGTGTTCTTAAGAATGCTCGCCGTCTTAACACAATAATTAAGGTTTACTTGCATTAAAGTTGAAAAGCACCAAACGAGTTTTGTTTGCGGACAATTTTGGTTCGCTAGCAGAGGGTTGCAGCTTTTACCAGAAAAAGAATTCTAGTCCAATAAAGTGGTGTGTTCAGACAGCTATCCAAGCCTTGAGGCCAATAAAAACTAATGATGGACATGACATAATGTGTGCAGTGCTTTGGATGGTTTTGGTGTGAAGATCACTCATTCGTACAGTGAGCAAGTGATTGGATGGTGAAGCAGTGATGTGTTGTGAGCTTGAAGTGGACATACCTGGATGATACTGATATTTTTAAATGGTATTCTAAGTTTTGCAATGCTCAGGAGAAACTCATTTTTACCTATATGCAGGTGTGAAACCGGCAGTAAACCCTGAAATTGAAATCGGTGTAGTAAGCGACAGCACAAGATTCTTTTCTGGGAAAGCGGATATTGTGCTTTGCTTGACAGGGCTCTCTCCAGCCTGGGGGCCCGCTCGCTACAAATACACCGGGTACCTAAAGGAACTGGTCAGGAGAATTGCATCCTTTTTGTGGCTGGTGCACTGACATTTTATTGAACAGACAAGACTCGTTAATTATGCCGGTTAATCATTTCGAAAGGAGCTCATATTGAGGGTGGCTGCCATTGGAATCAGTGCAACCTGTGACAGGTGAGAAAGCCGTCTTGAACAATTTTGTCCCGTTCCTTTGTAGAGCTTGAACATGCATGTGACCGTTTACTCCGATCTTAAAATGGCTTGTCCCTGAAGTCTGGTGAGGAAGGGTGTCCATGGCATGATATTGTCTTGCAAAAACAACGTGTTAAAGGTATTGCATCAGAGAGTGTTGTCCTGCTGTAAAAGTCATGTCAGGATGAGCTTGCAGGAAGGACAGCAACTGACCAGTGGGAGTTGTCAAGCTGCCATCAATCACTACCAGTGGTGTTCTCTAGGAGATAGCCAGTCCTGTCGAGACCATTGCATTTAGACCTCCCCAGCAACGGTCATGTTGGCAATTTGCATGTTCTGTATGTGCCGTGCTCACCGGGGTCCATCAGGGTCATCATTGACCTATGGCCAATGGTAGTTGGGCTGGCTTTGTCCAGCCTTAATCCCTCATGACTGACTGTGATACATTCCAATGACTGTTGCATAAGCAAGGCACTGGCAATGTTGTGATTTCACCTGTTGAATGTCACATCTGGTCAAAACCAAAGAGAAACAGAATTGAACCAATATGCATGTTATCTGAACCATGTAATGTGGGTATATTTAATCAGTGTGATACCAAAAACATTGAATCAATGTCTAAGCTCTGTGCTTTATTTTTCCTAAAAATGCACATGCATGAACAGTAATGAGTTTCTTCTGGTGTCCTTAAGAGGGGAAAAGGGAACAGCAGAACGTCACTGCACTGGAGCTGCTGTTCTGGAGCCAGTCCAACTCGAGTTCAAAGCTGCCCCTTCAGTGTCACTCCTGCACTTTGAAGAGGACTTGACAACCTACACAAAATAATCACTTTTCAATGTGTTCTCAAGCGCATAATCCTTTCATTTGGTGGTTTTCTCATGGGAAGAAAAAGAAAGCCCATCATACTGGTTTGGTGCAGGTTGTGGTAACTACAAAATGTATGGTTTCTGTGGGGTGGGCTGTCTTTCTACAGTGTTTGGGGTTGGGGGATATTTTAACCTTATGATCCCACTAGAAAAAGAGTCAGTTTCCACCTGGAATGATGACCCCTCCAGCATTTTGAAATATATCTGGAAGTTTGTACTGTTGAAGCCTGGTTTGTGGCTTAAATTCAAACTAAAGCAAGTACTGTAACTCAACCCGTCATCTTTTCTCAATAACGTCGCAGCCACTTTCTAAACTCATCGAACATGATGAACTTGTGTCCTTATACGACACATATATACGACATAAGCCCCTTGATTTTTTTCTCTTTCTTATATGTAATACCTCGCCACAGTCTTTTCACAAAGAGGCGGTGTGGTAAAGAGTTCCACCGGTGGCCTTGAGATCTGAAGGTGTGGACGCCGCTCGGAGCTGGACTGTGAAAGTAGCCCGCAGGCGAGACCGGTCAAGTCAGATGGGTGAACGAGCTAGTGTCGACAGAAGAGCGAAAACCGAGCTAGAAAATAACTCAATCGCATTAAAAAAAAAAAAAAATTTTTGAAACTTTTTGCATGCTTTCCAGCGACCAAAGAGTTAAATCAGTTTAGCGAGCTACACCTCCAAGCTTGAAGAAATAAGTGACATTCATATATTTTAGATCATTTTATTTCCGTCAGTTCGGGGTTTTTTTTTGTATAGGAGAAAAAGGCGACACGGGGGTTCTAAAAAAAGCTCCAAAAACGTCCACACACTGATAGCCAATAAAGTCCGTTATTTTGGAGCTCGCAATACAATGTTCAATTCGCTAGGTACCGTCCTATGCTTTGCGCGTCCTGGTTGGCAATTTATAAATCGCCTTTTCACTAATTAAGCTAAATGGCAACGCTCTTGACTTCGTGGGAGAAGTTGTCAACCAAGGAGAAACGATACTGGATCGTTACTTGGCGCTCACTAAGTAGACAATTTATTCTTGTCTCCAAAACCATTATCCATTTTCCATTGTTCCGACGCGCATTTTAATTCATTTTGCAATCCACGCCAGCATTTGATGATGGAAATATGTAGCTGCGAGATTAATTATCTGAAGGGACTTGATTTTTTTTTTTTCAAGTTTGTTTCCTCTTTATCCTGGTGTAACCCCCTTCAGGCGGTGCGCGCTGTGAATAAAGATCGGAGCGACGGCCACAGAAAGGGAGAGGGAATTTGTGGTGTTCTTGCCATTTTCAGCACCAGCCGAGCGACTAGTCGAAAATCTGGTAACCAGGGGGGGCATGACTAGTAACTAGTTCTGTTCAAAATTATGGGATGGATCGCCATGGCAACAGACCAGACGTCACAATCTGAGCATGTGTGTTCCATTTTTGTCTTTTTTTATTTTCAGACTGGAGGATTTGGACTGAGGAGAGAGAGAGGGAGATAGAAAAGGGAAAGAGGATTTTTTTTTCTCCTTAAAAAAAAAAAGCGAGGGCAGCCATCTTTCTTAAAACACCATTTGTGTGCAATTTTAATTTTGTGCGGACGGTTTTTTTTTTTTAAAAAAAAGACTGGCATTCCGAGGGTTAAGTTTCTATACTTTATTCTACAGAGGGAGTGGAATTTTCTTTTTATTGAAGGATAGCGTATGCGATAAAGATGCCAGGGTCGCTAAGCAATGAAGACGAGGGACAAGACGATATGGATTTTGAGGACGAAATGCCAGGTGAGAGAGGAGGGAAGGAGGGGGTGGCATCTTTCTCTCGGCTATGTACTATCATCGCCAATTGAATGCGGGAGGAAAAGGGCTTGCCCTGCGTTATTGTAGACTTAAGAAAGCGAAAAACCGGAGGGAGGAGGGGTGACAGTACACGCCTGGCGCTTAGTCCAAATTACAAGCACGCGTGACCCCAAAGTGTGTACAGTACTGTATTATTATTTCAGCGCCTTTGCAGTAACTGTGGCGCTTAATGAGCTTAACCAGCGTAACGGTCTTTTATTTTAAAATGGAAATGGGAAAAGCCGGTTTCTGAAACCGTGGACTGTTGAGGCGGTGCTATTACAGCTGGGTTTTCTGTTTGAAGTTGTGGAAGGGGTCGGTTTCCTACAGGCAGAAGGGTGCATTTTTTTATATAAAAATGCCTGTTGTTTCTTGAACTCCATTTTTTTTTTACAGTGACTGAGCACTGGACACATTGTGCTGAAGTGCGTTGTATGCAAATATAATGTGCACTGACATGTGGCGTTAGATCTTACAATTATCAGCAGAACATTGATACATAATGTTAATGTTAAACATAAGGGAATGTATGTGTTCTGCGTATTGAATGGCATAAAACAGGATTGTTGTATAGAAGTTAAAGCTTTTTATATGACGACTGCGACTATAAATGCTATGATTTGTTATGCCTCTTCTTATCCAGTACTGTATAAAGTTGTTCTGTTTAGTGAACCTAAACTAGAAAATATATGTTTGGGGAGATCCTACTGGAAGGATGCATGGATTCAGGACAGTCCTGGCTACAGTTACTTCAGGTATTTTAAAAGCCAAGACTTACCCTGGAATACGTTTCTGTCTTCACTTATTAGGCAAGTGGTTATTTCTGTATCCTGTGACAAAAATATTATGTGGAATCAAACGAATTAAGATCCCATGAAAACACGTGATAAATTGATATAAAAATTCCCTTTTGATGAATGTGGATTTAAAACCGTCTTAAAAGATTTAAGGTGGTGCATATCTGCTTACTTAATATTATTTATATCGTGCAATTACCGATGACAGTTGAAGAGCGCTTTTTTTCCTCTTAAGCACTAGGGAGACCGACTTGTCGGTCGCGGGCATCAGTTCTTTACTTATTGACTGTAGTCACGTGTGACCTGGACAAAGCAGGAACCTGTCCGCCCCACTCCGTCCGGCGCTTGGATGATGCTGAGAGGGTCTCACCATGACTCGATTGGGAAGCCGTCCAGCTACAAATCAGCTCGAAGTTTAGAGGAGCTGTGTCTCCAGGCTGATTCGCAGGGCGATCCATCTGTTTAAACGGCTGGAGCTCGGTGACCTGTCTTTTCAAGGCCTGGAACCCTGTCAGTGCTTCACGGCGTTTGGTGTACAGTACTAACTTGAGTGGGGGGGGGTGTGCGGGTTGTTGCGTTGGCGGATTCCTCACTCCTCCCTTTTGAAACTGTAGTAGGAGGAGGAAACAAATGTCCGAGACTGCCAGGAAGGTGACTTTGGTTGCATTTTTGTTTTGGTGTTCTTTGTCGAGAGGTTTTGAAAGGTACATCATTTACCTCGCCGCGGCTGCGGCGCAGACCTCACAGTAAGTCTTATTGTGATGAAACGCACATGTCACAGGGCTGTAATCCATTCGCCGCAGCTCGATGGAGTTGTGAAGCACTATACATCACAGCTTTACATTTTGCATGGTAATGGTGACACCCGATGCTACGGCTGACAAGAAGACGTAGACCTGGGGTCTAGGCAGGGCAAGACCTATGAAGAGCACATTGTAATAGTTCATGTGTAAAGTCATGTCACTCGCCTCTGTCTTCATAGTGCAGATAATTAAAAATAAAGCTCCGTTATTCTTCGAAGTGCTTAATTGCCTTGTAGATCCATTGCAAGGATTTGTTGCCTTATGCTTCTGTCCACAACACAGAATTGAAGAGCCAGGTGCTCTTGTAATGAAACGACGCTGCAAATGCAGAAATAAGAAAGAGATGGTTTTAAAAAAATAAATCACATTGGCTTCCCACAGGGTTTAATTTGCTGCGGCTTTTAAGTTGATTGATAGTTGGATTTAATTGATATTGTGCCATTCGTTATGTACAGCATGTTTCAGTTAATTGTGGTCAAAGGGGCTTACAAAATCAAACTTCAGCTGCACTTGGTGGTATTTTCTATGGTGAAGGGTAAAATCACTTACCGTCTTTTTCTCTAGCCGCAGAGTCCTGCTGGACACTCAGGGGTTATCCGAATCACAGATCCCCGTGGTCTCCTACCCTCCTGGGCAAACTTCACTGAATATGGATTCCAAGGCACAATCTCTAGATCACTCTTATGTCTTTATTTTGAAATTTTACTTTGGTCCTGAACAGAAAATATTGCTAGCAGGATTGAAGAAGGTCTTAGTATTTAACCACCTAACCCTGCCTTGTTCAGAAATACGTTTTGGGATTTCCAATTACAACTCCATGGAGTTCTGTTCAGGCGATCTAGAGCTTTGCATTGCAATTTGATCCATTAAAAGTTGGACTTCTTTCAGGTTTTGCTTGGACAGGACAGCACCAGGTGCTGAATGCTCTCAGGGTTGGTATTGTTTTCTGAGTGTGTTCAGCATAAAAAAGACATAAAATAAAAGTAATCGGCTTAAAACAGGCACGTCCCTTTTGGCATCACTATCACAATGTGTTAGCAGAGCCCTGTAGCTTGTTACAGGTATGTCTGAAATGGATCCTACATCTGCAATGGGAGTCTTATCGTTTTCCTCTCTGTTCTATGCCTGGGATCCTTTACATTACCTTGTTTCTAAGGGAGGACAGGGATGGCGAATTACTTCAACAGCTACAGTAAGTTTATACTCTCAGGGAGAAGAATGTGAATTGGCAGCCAAACGCAGTTCACAACTTCTACAGATCTGACCTTATCTGCCCTGCCTTGTCAAAGTGTGGTGCATTACTGGAGATCTGAGATCTGTAGGGCTGCTTTTTATTTTATAGATCTCATCTATTCGATTTTCTTCTTTCCATTTTGAGTCATTGTTGAGCAGGGCCCAGAGTGTCAGGCCACATCACCCCTTAGCCAAGATTATTAATCTCTTTAGCAAAGGTATTGCTCTGCCACCTGAGTAGCCTTGCCTGTGCTGGGGAGCAGGCGGTGCTGTGATGAAGTGCTTTATGGGGGTGGTGGAGGGTGCTTTTTTATACCATCATGTCAGCTCTGTCAATCCAATCAATAGAATCATAGTTTTTTTTCCTCTCGCCTGCTCTCTGCCTTTGCAGAATTAATAGTGGATTAGAAGCAAGGAAGGAATCCAAACGGTATCGATCTTATTTTCCCCTTCTTATTCCATTTCGTATTGTTTGCATCTAAAAAAGGAAGAGCAGTACAGTGCAGGAAAAGTGGCAGAGGAGGCATTGCACCAATACAGTGAATTGAGGGGATAAAATGTGTACAGTTGATTTTTTTTCATATGAGTAAGATTGGTGTGGTTTAGACTGTAGGCCTACTATAACAAAATATTTTTTTTTCCTGCAATTGTGACCTCACAATTTTTTATAATTTTTTCTTGTTTCTATAAACTGCTATTCAGGTTATTTAGATAGTTCTGCTGTCCCCAAAGGACTAGTTACACCCTTCCTTGCACAGTGACATTATTTTGTATTAAACTGTGGTGCCCACATACTGCAGTTGATGCAGTTGATCTGTGCAGTATGTAAGTGCTGCACTGGGGGTTCCATTTGCTTATAAATTGCCCTGCAATCTGCCTTATTACTTTTTAGGAACTCATTAAGATGACCCCTCTTCTGTTATGCACTGATGGGTTAATATTGAGTTTAAATATTTTCAGTGTTAACCATTGAAAGTCACGTAAAAGCTTTCATGGGAATGATTCATTTTTTATGTAGTAGTTCTAATTATCATGATTCTTTCTCAAGTAAAAAAAAAAAAACAGAAATAGGGCTGTGCAAAGACACTCAAGTGTGTTTGGTGAAAGATCCCCATTTAGCAGGAGTCTTGTCATTAGACGCTGTCTTTATTTTCTTCTTAAAGACAATTAGTAAGTGTCTTACCTGATCTAAGAGGCCAACACACTGAAAATGATGTAATCACAGCACGTATAAAGTCACTCCAGTGTTAAGGTCATTTAAAAATAATCATCATTTAATTTGTAGTCCAAGGTATAAAGTGCGTAATAACAACAGCAGAATTTCTTTCAAAAGTTACAGGCATTTTGTGTTGATAGCCAGAATTATAAGATATATGAACTTGGAAAGGATCTTCCTTTTTAAAAATCTTAACTTAATTTGAGGACTGTGCAGTTTTCCAGAATTTAAAATAGCAGAATTTAAACAGGTTTTCTCTGTCTGGAATGTGTCAAGGTTTGGTCATGAAAAGGCATCAGTTGGGGTTTCCATCTGCTTCTGGAAGGCGGAATGGATGCCAATGGCTGGATGAAGCCTATGAAGGAGATACCAGCATTTGTCCCAGTAGTGTAATTCTGTTTCAGTCTGTTGCTTGGGATATTGTAAAACTCAAGGAAGTGTATTTAATGAGTATAAACTTTCTCCAAATATTGTACGTTGGCAGTATTGAGCTCTGGAAAACAATTCTGTGTCCTAGGCCCAGTTGCCCTGTTATTAAGAATTTCAAATCTATCTGTTAGGGGCAATTAGTATTTCAGAAATAATTAAACTAATGAATGCAGATCAACGCAACACTAGAACAGTGTATTTTTTAAACTGCAGTGATTTGCACCTGTCACTTTTACAACATACTATACTCTATGTTGAGGTCAGTTTGGCATCTATATAATGTTTTCAGTCAACAGATGATCAGTATAAGGCCTCAGTAAAGCCTGTTCGATCATCAGAAATCAGAGGCATTTGTCAGTATGGAACACGATACCAAGGTAAAACAGAATATGATATGAGCCATGCCCTGGGATTAGGAAATAGCTGGATCTTACCAGACTGACATGCCAGGGACTCGATCCTCTGCTCCTGGGGGTTTCAGGAAAGCCTTTCACAAAAGGTGGAGACGCTGGGGCCAAACAAAGATTGTGCACTTATAGAACTGAATCGGTTTACAAAACTGCCACGAACTGAGCTGACAGAGGTTACTGGAGGTGTTCCTCCAAACAAATGGTAATAGACTGAAGTCCTACCACATCTCTAGGCGAGACTGGAGTGCACAGAGGTCGTCTAGTGCCCTGGAGGGATTCTGAGTTTAGCTAAGAGGGTGAGACGCCAATGAGCCAGGCCAGGCTCAGAGCGCACACAGCTGTACTGGAGACTCCCAGGACGGAGCAGTGATAGTCTACACACATGCTGTTCACTGAGCTGCGCTGTGAACAAGTGAGCTGGCAAACAAGCAGGCCTATCTGTGTCAGGTGTTCTTGCGACCCGGCCTCTCTGTTCATCCATCTCAGCGACTGAATCAAACACATTCTGTTTCAGGGCTTGTGTGTGACAGTCTGCGCTCTGCCTTCTTTACTTTTTCCTGGTGTAATTCTTTCAAAACCAAGTAGAACACTGTTGATCAGCAAAACGGTTGAGCACAGCGCTGTTGAAAACATTGTGAACTGCTGTGATTAGCTCAAAACTCAAAAGGCAATGCTTTTCCAAGTTTTCGATTTCCATAAAAGGCCTTTTTTTTTTCTTTTGAATGTCAATTTTTGGAAGACCCGATGTTGTATAAATATTTCGCTTTTGTGAAAGAAATCCCCCTTTGCTTGGCTGTGGACATATTTTGGGGGGGATCTCCGCTGTGACAGCAGACACCTCTCCAGGCATGAGCACGCTGTGGTATCCACTTGCTCTGGGGACAGGCAGAGTCTTTGAAAAAACAACCTGAAGGCAGGGCAGCCTCAGTGAAAGGCACATCCTGAAGATCCAGCCCTTTTACATTAGTGGTCAGGGCACCATTAACTTGATATTTCCTTACGGAGCCTGCCAGGAGGCTAATGCATTTTCCCGTAAACTCTGAGTATCTTAAAAGGGAATGTGCAATGAATCTAGTGTCTAACAGAGTGCAGGAGTCACTGAGCCCTTGCAGGAAGGTCAGAGCTTTGCTGCTGTCTGTTGCCACACACTGGCACAGGCCCCTGCCTGGACTGTGTTTCCACTCCAGAAGGCTGCTGGCCAGGATTGGATGCTGGCAGTGGCTCAGATGTTCTCTGGGTACCTGGCACTCTAGGCTCCGCGGGGACAAGTCATTACATCTGCTAGGTATCACAAATCAATTGCAAAAGGAAAAACAAAATCTGGACTTTTCTTTTTTTTCCAAGCCCTGAAAGCAACAATGATAATCAGAAAAAAACAGTTGTTTTCCCCATTGTCAGAGTGTTCCAATCCTTTCCTTGCCAGAGCAGCTGGGGCAAAAAACATCACTGCCGTTTTAAAATGAGCAGCTTTGGTGTTTAACACACGTTCTCTACGAGCAACAGCTTTTCAGATTTCTCTAAAATACCAAAAGAAATTGAAGTCGTGCAGCGTATGGCTCATTCGGCTGATGGTGTGCACGTGAGTACATCATCCTTCATTCATTTGATGATTGATTGTGGATTGTGAACATTGAACCTGTGGAAGAGACTTCAAGAATGTAGGTCAATGTTGAGGTGTGCACGAGTCAGGTATGAAACAGACACTGTGGGGCCAGATAGTGGTATTGAGCATCACACAGATAATGAGCATGCTGCATAGGCAGAAGAGTTTTTTAACACCCTGAGAGCAGATTCTGGGTGCCTGGGTGGGTGCGTCTTTCAGTCAAGTAAGAAATCTGTCTTTAATGCTAGCTGGTGGTCATGAGGGTACCTTAAGCATTGCATCTGAGTGGTTACCTGGCCTACATGTAAAAAGAATACCACACAGTCACTCTATGACATTTTAAAGGTAGCTTTATTAACAGAACTGCAGTGAATTTGTGCTTTTTTGGTCTGTTGCTGGTTTTTGTTTTAAGTACATCTGTCTTCCTAAAAATGTAAAGAGCCTCACCCATGACTTCAAAGACTTAGAAAACGTGCTGAGAGCTGAAATGAACTTTGTGAGAATACACATGAACAGTATAGATTCTTTGCGTAGAACTTTAATTGATTGTAAATTGAATTTTAGTAGAAGGGCTATTGAACACTTATTTATACAACTTAAGCGTTACCAAAAAAACAACCTACAATGTCTGAATTAATCAATTATAATATGGAGCTTTATTCACTTCAAAAGCTCAAGGGAATTTCGGATGAATTTCTGGAGTGGCAGAAAAGTCTTGCGTCCATGCATGTCTCTTCCCAGCCTGGCTAAATGAAGGTTAAGTGGAATGTGAGGATGGATTCCACAGCAAGAGGGGAACTCTCAGCTCCTGCGGTGCAGGGTGTTGCAGAGGCGGTAGTTAGCAGATTGACTTTAATAATCATCGTGCATATTTCATGTCTCCTGTCTGCACTGTAAATTAGTAATAAGAACGTTTTTTTTTCCTTGGTGATTCACAGTCAAGTATATATCTTCCCAGCGCCCGGCATTGGCTTCATTGAAGTCTGTAGTCTGCATGCAGGCTCTCTGCCTTTGAGGGAAGTCTGCTTCTGTCTCGTCTGTAGTGCCCTTGTGCCAGCGAGCGACAATCCCACTTGCACTCCAGTCTGACTGCCACTGAGGGTTCCCACTACACCGAGTCATTTCATCCTCATTTGTCAGGGTACTTAACATAACATTGCACAGGAAGGCTCCTGAAAAATAGCAGTTGTGGGGCCATTTTTTTTGGTAAATTTCTTCTCAAGCCCATCTATCTGTCTTCCTTCCTAGCAATTTTTTTTTTCTGGTACGAGTGCACAGACGTTTTATTGCACGGACAAGACAGGTAAATTCGTTGTACTGATTAACATCTGTCATCAAGTGCGCTGATCAATAGGGGCGCCCCCGTGAAAGTCACAAGGGAGTCGCACGTGTGGACACAATTAGAATACAGCTCTGTGTACTGTATATCTGTGACACATGCTTTGTGCAAGGGTACAGATGGTGTCTTGTGGGATTCTTCCCTCTTCTTCTTGTAGACTGTTCAGGGGTTTCTGAGCTCTAGATGCCTCATGTACGTCCAGTTTACCCTGCAAATGTCCAGTGGGGCACAAGTCCGGTGAGTAGGGCATTCATGGCGTAAATGTCCTATTCTCCCATTGCACTTAACCCTTTTTAACATGAGCAGCATGTGAATGTGTGCTGTCCTGGCTTAATGTCATGTGTGCATAACCTTGCACAAAGGGCAGTGAGGCCGCAGGACCGGTTCAATGTAGCGCCGTGAAGTCAGGCTGCCATCACTCCTGCAGATTTCTGTAGCGACTAGTCACTTCTGCCAAGACCATTACATACTCGGACCATCAGTGTTGCTGAGTTGCTGTGATTAGCTGTAATGACTTGCCAGGTTAGAAATTACTAGCTGTGAAAACCCCAGAGGGGGAATTGAAGTGCACTGATTCAGTCCAGCCTCCAACAAACTGTGCTGACGGTATAAAAGGAGTTATTTTCTTGATAAGAAGGGCAAATTGGTTCCATTAGGTTTTTACTTCTTTTATTTCTTAAGCAATATTTTTTTATTTTTCTTTCACTTGGCTTGACACTCAGCAAGTTAAATCACTTCATCGCCTGTACCTAATTAACTATCACTAATGAGGTGATTCAGTGTTTATCCTGGCAGTAAATGTTTGTCAAGAATGTCATGACCAGTCATGAGTGATCAATTATTCAAATGGGGCCAAAATATTTAATCAATATCTAAAATTAGTATGCATTGTTTTTCTAAAACCATGGAGATATAATTACGTACCTGAACTTTAGAAAGATGTAAATATTTGTAACAATTTGTATCCGGGTCACAAGGATGGTGATAATTGTAAAAGTGCAGTTAAAGAAGATGAGTAGTCACTTTTTTCACTCTTCAAGATGAGAAGAAATCAGACAGATGGAATAGTAGAACCTCAAACAGAAAAGCACTGAATGCAAACAGGTAACGACATGAGTGATGTAGGTTTTCCTGTTGTGTGTTGTGATGCTATATGCGATATCTCTCGTGTAAAAGTCATCAGTCTTGTATAATGAAGAGATCTCTGTAGGTTTGGATCCTTCAGTCATCTGCTGTTCCAGTGGAGTGTTTTGTGCAGGAATCGTTTCAACAAGGCTGTGCGGTTGAGCCGTGTCCTGTCTCTGTCTTCAGAGGAAGAGGAGGAGGAGGAGGCTGAACCCATGGCGCTGGGATCTCTAGAGAGGTTCTTCTCCGAGGAGGACTCCGTCAAACAGCACAAGAAGAAGAAACCTCGCAAGCCGAAGGAGGGCAAGACCCCCAAAGTGAAGAAGAGGAAGAAGGAGGTTAGACCACTGCCTTCCCCTTTGCAGCAGAACTAATAGTATAGCAATGCTCTCGCTGTCTCGGGTTCATCTGTCAGGGTGGTGTGCAGAAATCTCATGTTTAGCTTTCTTGAGCACACAAGCCAATAAAAGTCTGGAAATTCACAGGGGGAATGGACTGACAGTATGTGCAACATAGGACTAGAAATAAGAATTTGAATCTGTCTTAATGTTTTTTATGTAAGTAAATTTTGCATGACCTACAGGGAAAAAAATGATCATATTTAAAAATTCTGCATTAGGGAATTCATACTGTGAACGGCATGCAATCACATCCATTCACACCACGTACTGGGTGGTTCTCTTGAACTTGATCTTCTTGCAGGTGCGATTTTCAGGGGAGGGAAAATTTTCAGTGTTTGTGCTAATGGATCAATTAGCATAACAGGCATGAAGAAAGATCTTGAAACATTTGCGTTGTCAACTTCTCAGTTACAAACAGGGAAATGATGCCAAGGACAGTAAAAATCTGTGACTGCAGCAACAGCTTTGGTAGACGAAGACTGCACAAATGACAGCTTCTGAATCATTTCAGCAGCCGGTGTGTAGCGTGCCTCCCAGAGTCAGGCACAGACCTGGCGGCTGTGGGGTGGAAGGGGGAGCCCTCTGTATCTCAGGCAGACCCCCACCTAGATACGGAGACCACCCTCAGTGCAAGCCGATCCCCATGCTCTCTCATGTATTCTAGAGTTGTGTGGGATTTCAGTCTGATACCTTCTGTTTGAACTTGCCTTTTCAGTAAACCCTGAACAACTCTCTTCTGCCGAGCTGTGTTCATTAGCAGCTTTTTCAAAGCGATTCTGTAGAAAAGCAAAACTGAAGCGGTGCTTTGCATTGAGCTGGGACGGAGCTGATCCAGCATCCTGAGCCTGCACCTTAAAATCTACCTATGAGCTGCCTTATCTGCGTGTGAGATACACAGAATCTTGTAATTGAGGCATTTCTGAACAAAGAAAAACTCCAGATCCACACAGCTTTGCATTAGATTCTCACAATAACTTCATTAGGGGACTTGATCCTGGGGCTTTTTTTGCGGAGACTTTAATAAGCTTTTAAACATGAATGCTGCTACGGATGATTTACACAAAATGTGTAAATGAAGGGTGCAATAGTGGCATGGCTGACCGTGTAGCTGTCTCGCAGCTCTTGGGTGCTGGGTTAGATTCCGGACTGTGATCCATCTGTGTGGCATTGTTTTTGCATGTTCTGTCTGTGTTTGCTTGGATTTTCTCCAGTTGTTCTGATTTCCTCCGATATTCCAGAAACATGCAGACTGTGTTAATTGGTGCCTCTCAGTTGTCTGTCTGTGTGTGCCCTGCAATTGATTGGCATCCTATCCAGGGTATATCCCAGCCTAACATCTATAGGATGAAGCAACTCTGAATAATGGAGTCATAAATTAGGCTTTACACATTACCTCATCTGATATTGTTGCTTAATCACTGTCCGCAGCAAATAGATCATCCTAATCATCTGCTTCTATGGGCTGTGGTGGTTTGGAACAAGCAGCCAGACATGTTGTTGGGTAGGTATAATGCACTAGTAAGATTTAGAAAAACCTGAAGTGTGTCACAGACAGTAAGTACGGTTGACCTCAGCACACAGATCTGTCTCTTGAACCCTGAGGTTGAGATGCCCTTTCCACCACTAGGCTGGTAAATTCCCAGGTTGGCTCTGGCTGCTCATTCAGTGGGCTGGGATGTGCCAGCTTTCTGTTGCAGTCCAGTCCGTCCGTAGGATGTGTCCTCCTTCTCTTTTTCTGACAGCCCAGAGGAAGCAGGTAGAGTCTCGGGCACCACACTGTGGTTATGAAGACATTAGCTCTTTACCTGCAGACTGTAGGAAAAAGTGGAACATTTTACATTTTAATCCTGAGTTGGGTTTGGACCTCAATGGGAAAGATGATGATTAATGTGAATATTTTTGGCATTGCGGTATGGAGGATTTAGGCAGAAGTTTTACTTCCTCTGATCATTATACAGTGCTAACAGGTTAGGCTGTCTAGAAAAAAGCCAGCAGTAACAACAATCTGATTGAGAGCATGAGCCATTTTGTTTAACAACATGAATATGAATTCCTGCTCAGGGACTATCAGCTTATTAATAATGCACTCCAGAGTGGCAGAAACCTTGAAAAGACTCTATGAAACAAACATCAATGCATCTAATTATTTTGCATTCAAGTAAATTGATATTTCTGAAATTGTTATTTGGAGGAAGCTGTTTTAGGAAGTTTTCCACAACTTTAAAATCTGAGAAGTTGTTTTGATTGGAAATGCTTTCTAATTGTTTAATGTGTTTTTATCTCACTCTGATGATGAAATGAAATGGAAATAGTTGCTGCCAAACTAAAATCTCAGTTGACTCAAAAGGCATTGCACTTCTTTTCTTTTTGTTAGAGAAAACGTACATAGAACTTTCCACTGCTACCAAATTTGCTCTGACTTCCACTCCACTGGTGAGGAATGGAAGGCAGATGAGGCCTCTGATCAGTGACGCTCGCTGCAGCACAGGGAAGCCCTTGATCCTGTATGGAGTCCCCCAGCTGCTGTAGCTCTGTTCCCTCGGTTTCTCACCCTCTGCCTGAGACAGGCTGCCCTGTGAAATGCAGATGGAAAACCCCCTCGTCTCCATGCGAGCGGGACACATCCACTCACTTCTCTCTGCACGCTGTCTCTGCTGCCTCCCGTTGTCAACAGTCCGTTTTCTACTCAAGGACCAGTCCTGGAAAGGTATTGTAGCTTCTAGGTGTTTATCGTTCAAGACCACGGCCCGTCCTCTGCTCTGTCACAGGTGGTGCCAGCGAGAGCACCAGCTCGTCCTACACGTGCCCAGACAGAGCTGACCTAGCTGGGGGACTGCTAGCGCTACCCAGACTGCCTGGACCATTTCTTTCACCTGGACTGGGTTTTTTTTTCTGTCCTCTCTCTTTGACTTCGTACTTCGAAATCCCTGGGTCTACATTTCAAAGTAGGAGCGCGGAGCAGGCAGCACGGAAGGTCACTGATTGGCTGCACGGACACCTCTGTGTCTTCTGCAGCCTCTCAGCCTCTACAGCTGCTGCTGTGAAAGGCCTGGCCCTGTAATCAGTTCTAGGGTTTGAAGTCTAGGGTTTAGTTAGGTCAATCAGCCTTTGCAGGCCCCCTCTCTCTTTTTGCTCAAGGGAACACCAGGGGTGTTGGTGAAATCCAAGCATGGGCAAGCTCTTCAAAGCATTGCCCTGTCTGACTCATTGCCCATGGCATGGTGTGGAGTTGTAGGTGAGTCAGCCCTCCTCACCCTTTGATTGTAGCTGGCCTTGCTGACAACTGGTGTCCAGGGCAGAGGAGGGACCCTGCCATACACATGGGCACCCCATGCCCCTGTTTGAACCCACCTGGCGCATTGTGTTCTTCTTGACCCCAGTGGCTGCGATTTTTCCGCGAGCAAAGACTTCGATGTAATTGAAAAGCGAAAATGTAATTACCAAATCTTAATTGGTTATTACCGTTTGAATGTGATTAAGCATAGATGTGAGCAGCAACACAAGGGAATTTGAACATACGGGTTGCCCACATGCTCAGTGAAAATGTTTTATCCCGTCTCCATCTTATTTATGTGTGATACTGGGTGTGCTGAACAAAGGTGCAGCACAGAAGAAATCAAATTCAGCTTTTTAAAGCTGATCAATTCAAAAGGCCTGTCAAATAAACGGGCAGTTAGTGGCAGGTGAAATGTAAACCGTACTATACTGTTGTATGAAAACTGCTTGTGAATCCACTGTTTGCTTGCTGTGCTTACAGCACCCCCCACCTTCCCCTTCCTGCACCCCCCTGTCGCCCCCCCCAGGTTAGTAAATGAGAGTTGTCTAGACAGGCAGTAGTATACAGGCACTGCAACGATGAGCCGCCGCATAATAAGCTCGTTATGCAAACGTGTCTGATTGGGTGGTGCATGCTCATTGGCTGCCAGGAAGAAGTCCAGACACTGTACAGTTCAGTAACCATGGCAACGCAGATGGGCGGCTTGTTGGGTTGGTGCTTTGCTGCAACATTAGCTGCTGCACTGTCTGAGCAGATCAGCACAGCATCACAGCTGCACTGTACCAGCACAGCCTGCATAGGGCCCCCCCTTTTCCCACGCAGCACCCCGAGACTGGACACGGCACCCAAGCCACCCTGCTGCCCAGCTTTTTAAAGTGCAAAAAACATTCTTTTTAGTAACCGATTCCTTTTCTGTGCGTTTAAACACAATACAGAGATGTGTATTTTCATTTGCAAGTGTAGATGCTTGAATTGGCTGTTCGTTGGTGGGCTGCATTGCTGAGGGACTGCGTGCCCTGGTTTTGTGTTGCTAACAGCACAGTTGTCTGTAATTACAGAGAAAATATGGATGTGACTGTGTCATTGTTTCTCTGCCCTTGTCGACTGTACATCACTGCAAAACAGGGCTTTTATGAAACCGTTCGAGACAAAATAAAAAAGATAATAATGTCAAGTCAAAGTGTAAATTAGCAATGCAGAATTGCTCATGGTGTTTTATACTTGAAAAAATAAGTAATATTCACAGGTTTTTTTTCAGTATAGTATCTCTGTCTGGAATTTTGTTTGTTCAGGAACAGATGCTGTTTCTTGTTCCCTGAGTGCTGGAAAAATGACCTGATGTCTTCTTGCATGTGCGATCCTAAATTGCTAGATTTGTCCCTTTGAACTGCTGCAATTTCTTTTGGAAATGAGGCTAATAACTATGCTCTGGAGTAAAGAGATGTGATAATCATGTCATTAACGGCCCAGAGGCCTGGAGCCAGTACGGTCAGTCCCCCACAGCTCTGAGTGCAGACTGTCCATGCAGGGGCCGGGTGCCCTGGTTGGTCCTGATGGCCGTCCCTGTGCCGCTCTGTGCTTCCTCTCTGTGCGCCTCTGCGTTCTGCAGGGCGGGGGCAGCGACGCCGACGAGGCTTCGGAGCGCGAGGAAGGGCAGGCGGAGAAGTCGGAGAGCGAGGGCAGCGACTACTCGCCGGTCAAAAAGAAGAAGAAGAAGCCGAGGGAGAAGAAAGAGAAGAAAACCAAGCGCAGGAAGAAAGACGAGGAGGAGGATGAGGATGAAGACGTGAGTCTCAAGGTGAGACAGCGTCAGGAAGCCTGGAATTGGACAGGTGGGAAGGGTGGGGAAGGCAGCATTCCTCTAGAGCTTCCTCTTCTGTGTCAGCGGCTCTGTATGGGTGCTGGCGATGATGTAAGTCCAGGAGAGTCCAAGTGTCCATTAAACGAAATTAAATTCTAATTAGTCCATTAAATTCTCCAAGGCCCCCTCTCTGCACCAGCTGCAGCAGAAATGTATAAGGAGGCAAAATACGCCATCATCTAACTCTGGTGCTGTCTGATATTAAGGATTTGGGAGGGGAAGGCCCCCCTTACCCCCTCAGTGAACACTCTGGCCTTCATTCTGTCTGTGATCTCAGCGGACTGCCATATTGATCAGATTCAGGTTTGGGTGCAAAAATGTCATGGTGTATTTTGCGCAGAAAATTTGCGCTGCCTTTGTGACAATGTGATGTGCCGAACGGATTTTGTAGAAGACTAATTAGCAGAGCTCGATTGCTGTGGGTGTTCTCTGAGGCCAGGGAACTTTCTAGTTGCGTGAAGTGTTCTGATTCTCCTCGTCAATGGGCTGGCTTTGTCGAGTCATGTGTTTAGACCAAATGAGGGTTCCTTGCATGTTGCTCTGATTTTTGCTTTTTGTACTTCCGCTAACCTCCCCCCACTTCACAAAGGAGCCCAAGTCTTCAGGACAACTGATGCAGGAGTGGGGTCTGGAAGATGTGGACTATGCCTTCTCAGAGGAGGATTATCGCACCCTGACCAACTACAAGGCCTTCAGCCAGTTTCTGAGGTGAGCTGGGAAGCAGCAGGGCTGGCTGTCCAAGGATACCCAGCCAGTTCTCCGTGTAAGTGTATGTTGCACAATACCATGGTAGGAATGATTAAGCATGCCAGTTGAATTCAGTGTTCTGCTGAAGATGACACTGGAAAACTGGTATTAAGAATACAGTTTGGAGTTGACAATATAATACATTAATATTTAGAATAAAAGAAGAAGATCCCACAAGACACATTTTGTCCTACATGGTCAGCTGGTAGAGATCGTTGGTTCCTAAACATTTCCTGGCGCAATCATGATTAATAATCAGTGTGATGTCAAAGTTAATAGTATAGTGAAAAACCATGATAGGGTATATTCTTTCACAGATAGGCAAGACATTTTAGTGCATGCCAGGAAATTATGATTCAGTTTTATGAGCTGTTATTGTTTTTTTTAGGTTATCTGTCACAGCAGGCTTTGATCATATATTGCAAAATGTTAAACATCACCTAGAGAAAATTGTTAATTCAGCAACTATGCTTATAGGCTGTGATTTCCCAGTTCTCACACTGTATAGTGAGTGGTCTCATAGCCAGGCTGAGTCTGTTGCTGTTTATCAGTCTCATCTGGCTTAATCTTTTCCATCTGGGAGGCATTACAAATCTATTAAAATGAACAGTAGTCATGTTAGAAATGGTTTTAATCCTTTTGCGATGTAAATGGTTGTGTGCAACATTGAGTGCACTGTGCCTCCTGGCATGTAAGGGCTCTGTGTACTGTTTTTGTTTAAGTCCATACCATGATTCTCTCTCTGTCTGTTTTGCTTTTCTCCTGCCCCCTCACTCTCTTGCGTGCATGATCTTTCAATCATTCTGTGCTTCCTTCCCCCCAACCTCCCTCACTCTCGTTTACTCTTTCTTCCTTTTCTCTCTCTTTCTCTGCATCTTCTTCTCAATCTCTTCTGCTGTCCCCCTCCCCTCTGTGTGTTTCTACTCCTGTCGGTCCTTCCTCCCTCTCTCTTCCTCTCCCTGCTTGTTCAGGCCTCTCATTGCCAAGAAGAACCCTAAGATCCCCATGTCCAAGATGATGACTGTGTTGGGTGCCAAGTGGCGAGAGTTCAGTGCCAACAACCCTTTCAAGGGCACCTCGGCCGCCGCCGCTGCCGCCGCCGTGGCCGCAGCCGTGGAAACGGTGACTGTGGCCCCGCCGGTCTCGGTCAGCAGCATGCAGCAGCCCTCACAGCCTGGGCCAATCAGAAAAGCCAAAACAAAAGAAGGCAAAGGTGAGGAGTACCAATCAGACGAGACCTTGCTGTCACGTTACAGATACCCTCTCTTTTTCTATTGGACTTTTTTGGCACTTTCGTTTTCTTTCAGCTTTATTTGAACTGCTTTTTAAGGATGATTTTAGAATTAAAAGCAGAATGTTAAAAAAACTTTATCAAACCAAATTCGTTGAATTTATTTCTGTGGCTCACATCTGGGACTGCATCAAGTCTTTTTCAACTGGTCAGTTAGCAGCAAACCAAGGTTCAGTAAGCATTGGAGAAAGCTACTTAGTTTATCTCATACCAGTTATCTTATGACAGGAATGATAGGGTTTCTGGAACGACTACCCCATTGTGTTCAGGCCTTATTCTTTCTGACTCAGTGCTGTAAACTCCACAACATCGGTTTAACTGCTGAGCTGCTGGAAGGGCTTTCATTAGAAAGCCATGGGTTTAACACAGCAGTCCGTGCTTACTGTGTGTGCTGAGGTGGATGGCTCATTCAAGTGATTGCCAGTACTAGCCTCTGAGCTCCTGAGTGCCTCTGCCATTCCAGGGCCTGGGGTGAGGAGGAAAACCAAGAGCCTGAAGGAGGCCAAGAAGAAAGGGAAAGGCAAGAAGGTGAAACTGAAGATGGGGGCACAGAGTGGCAAGAGGAAAAAGGGCTCTTCGGTAAGGCAGGAGCTGGTCAGCACAGCGGCAGGGATCCTGATCAGGGACCGAGAGCACAAATACAAGCATGGAAATATATCCTTGTGTGTTCATCAGCCACAAAGACATCTGATTTTGTTAAGAGGGAGTAGCTGGATGTGACATGAACCTGAATGTTCTCTTATAGAATTTATTGTTATCGTACCTAGAAATTCTTAAAACCAATGGGATTCGTGGCTTCTTTCTTCAGCTAGCAGGTACTGCATGTGCATGCGCGAGGGATGTCGATGTTCCTCTTGTGCGCTCGTGTGTTTGCTCCTGATCGGGCCTCTGTCCCCTCTCTCATTCTCAGAGCGAGGAGGAGGATCGTGAAGAGTCCGACTTCGACAACGCCAGCATCCACAGTGCCTCTGTGCGCTCTGATGCTTCCGGGGCCCCCAAAAAGAAGGGGCGCAGGGGCCGGAAGAAGAAGAAAAGTAAGGGGGAAGCTCATAATGCCATGAGGCCAGGGGCAACGGGAGCTTCCTAGTGACTTCCCAGTGGAAATCATGACTATAACAGTCTGTAACTGGAAATCTGTGATAGGCACAGAAATACCATCATATAGAAATTAAGGGGACAAAATAAGTAAATAATAGGATAAGGATCTCATGATGGTGAGGTAGAATGATTGTTGTGTAGTCTTGGGAAGAACACTACTCTGAGGAGCTGAGAGGTAAATTCTCCATTAGTGACAGTGGCACCCTTGATACTAACCCATTGAACCCTGTAACAAAGGAAGGAGATGCAGATGTGGAAGAATGGAGGGGCAGTGTTAAACTGATTTAAACAGCAGTCTGGAAAATAGAGACCATTCTAGCCAGAGCAACTGCTTTATATCCTTAAGTATCTACACATTCTTAGAGCTGGATTTGAACTGTACCATAGAACAATTTAACATTCACATAATTATCACATTTTTCTAGTGTGAGAGTATTTCACCACTTTAAAAAAGGAATTAATTTTTTAGCATGATTTGCAGTCTGCCTTCTCGTGTTCTTCAGAACTGAATTCCAAAAGAATTTTCTTCCTTGCCTCTTGCGGTTACTGTAGGGGGGTTTAGCAGTGAAAACATCAGCAGAAACATTTGGTTTTGATGTATCCAAGAGAGTTTGAACTGTCATATGAAACTCTTTCCTCCTAGTTGAAGGAATGTCTAGTTTGGGGTGTACTGTTGCAAGCAGTGTGTACTGTATGGGAGCAGGATCACGAGTCCGGGAGTCTGCTGGGCAGGTGATTGCATGGTCGCTTGTGTTTTCTCGAGTTGAAGAAGGGGATGGCTATGAGACGGATCACCAGGACTACTGCGAGGTGTGCCAGCAGGGCGGCGAGATTATCCTGTGCGACACCTGCCCCCGGGCTTACCACCTGGTGTGCCTGGACCCCGAGCTGGAGAAAGCCCCCGAGGGCAAGTGGAGCTGCCCCCACTGTGTAAGAGAGCGGCGCCGTACACCCCCACATGCTCGGTGACGAATCACACACCCCTCCCCCTACAGGTCGAGAGAAATCCCATAATAATACTACTAGTAATCATTCCTTAGACCTATATAGCTCTTTTCTGGACACTCCTCCCAAAAGTGTTTGACAGGTCATGGAGACTCCCCTCCAACACCAGTGTGCAGCCCCACCTGGATGATGTGAGCAGCCAGAGTGCACCAGTACACTCCCCACACACCAGCTCTCAGTGGGGAGGAGAGCAGAGTGATGAAGCCAGTTCAGAGATGGGGATTATCAGGAGGCTATGTTTGGTGAAGGCCAGGGAGAAATCTGGCCAGGACTCCGGGGTTACACCCCTACACTTTTCGAGAAACACCCTGGGATTTTTAATGACCACAGAGAGTCAGGACCTCGGCTTTACGTCTCATCCGAAGGACGGCGCCTTTTTACAGTACAGCGTCCCCGTCACTATACTGGGGCATTAGGACCCGCATGGACCGCAGGTTGAGCACCCCCTGCTGGCCCCACTAATACTTCTTCCAGCAGAAACCTTTTTCCCAGGAGGTCTCCCCTAGCTTCAGTGGGTTGCCAGTTGTGAGTTGCAGGGTGATATCACTGCTGGCACTACCTACACTGTGAAAGGCAAGATTGCCGGTATCCACACACTGCAGGAGACAAACTTACAACGTCTCAATAGTGCTTTTGTTCAGTAATAAAAACAGAAATGTACTTTACCCTAAGAGAAATAATCTTTAAACAGCCAGAAGCTGTATTGGGATTGGCACATTTTATACACGGAGCTTAAATCACCACTAAATGTCGATACCAGCTGTTTAAAGATGGTTGATTGTGAAAGGCTCTGGTGCTGACAAGTGGTGGTGGAATGTGGTGTGCGGCCGTCTTGCAGGAGAAAGAGGGAATCCAGTGGGAGCCTAAGGAGGACGAGGAGGAAGAAGAGCCGGTGGGTGAGGAGGAGGACGATCACATGGAGTTCTGCCGGGTGTGCAAGGACGGAGGGGAGCTTCTGTGCTGCGACACCTGTCCTTCCTCCTATCACATCCACTGCCTCAACCCGCCCCTGCCTGAGATACCCAATGGAGAGTGGCTGTGCCCTCGCTGCACGGTGAGTAACATGTCCTCCATCCAATCACAGCCGGCCCTGGTCTGTGACACATCCGAGCGAGCTCATTCAGTGCGGAGTGTCTGCTCTTCCACTGAAGCACAGCTCATTGTTTCTAATGGAAATATATGGCATGCTTAGGCTTGGCTTGTATAATGTAATAGTCTTCCTTGTGACTAAGGACTGCTTTAGAAAACAGTTCTGAATTTTCCCCACAAATGCCTATGTATTTTGCCACTTTGCTTTTTATTTTATGGAAAAAGTATCTAGTAACCACTACGTATGCAACATGACTTTGAGACGTTTCAATTTCATGAATATAAATTTGATCACCTTGACCTGCTGTTTGTGTGCCCTTAGTGTCCTTCAGTCTCTCCTGTTTGTGATCTGTTTTCTTCTCCTTCTGTTCCTGTCATTGCCAGTGCCCCCCTCTGAAAGGAAAAGTGCAGCGAATACTGCACTGGACATGGGGGGACCCCCCCTTGCCTCCTGAGCCCCCCGCAGGCCCTGATGGGGAACCCGCATCCCAGCTGGCCAAACCCCCCCTGAAGGGCCACCCTGAGAGGGAGCTGTTTGTGAAGTGGGCCGGCCTCTCCTACTGGCACTGCTCCTGGGTCACTGAGCTACAGGTGAGCTGCTGATCCGCCTGTCTCTGGTCCAAACAACTCCGTTAACTACTCAATAAATCATCACAACAGCATTTTACTAGTTCATATGAGCATTTGGAAAGTTTCTTATTAAGCGTGCAACGTGAGTTTGTTTTTAATTTGTGTGTTGTATACATTAGCTGACCATATTTTGTGCGTGTAGCTAGGCTTGTGCCTTTTTGTTCGTTTTTGAGAGAGCAGAAATAACTGTAACTAAACAGCCTCTTAATTTCCTTTTTGAAAACCACTTTTGATACCTATTCATTATTGGCCTATATTGAGAGACTGAGAGCACGGTGAAGAGTATTTTGTGTGATCTTTTCCAGTTAATACATTTAATTAAGTATGACATTTTTTTTATTTTTATATTTAAAATTAGCCATGCACCATTTCCTTTAGTTGTATAGGGAGAGAAGTTTGTTGTTTCGCATTTCTGATTTGCACTGTAAATATAGCACTCTCGTCTTATTGCGTTCCAAGAGTCTGAATCCATGATACTATAATTTTATCTCCTGCCAATAGAAAGCAAATTGTTCAAGTGCTATGGCATGTTAGGTGGCTGAATGACTTAAATTTGGAACTTATGAGAAACACTTCAGATTGAAAGGTTCGTCTTTATTTCGGGCTGTAATTTCTGCACATCTGGTATCTAAATGTTGAAAGGGAGGAAAGCTAAATATAAGTCAGTGGATTGTGACAAAAGGACCTTGAAGTAAGTGTGTTCCCAACCTTTGGAGTGCAGAGACAGTGGTCAGTCACACCCACACCCTGCCCCCATCGTGATAGGCAAATAATTGTAAAGGAAATAAATGATTTTATAGCATGATTTATTGTGAATGATGCCAGCCCCAGGGTAGGTTACATGAAGGCAGCCCATTGATTTAGAATCCCTAATGTTCAGCCACATGGGCCTCAAATCTAGAAATGTGCAAGTTAGCCCCAGGTAGAGAAGTCAGCACACTGGTTATAGGTCATTAATTTCAAGGAACTAGCTTGCCTGCATTGGTTTAGGCTTTGCTAATATCATTAATTACAATAATTCTTCACATTTCTGTGGCACATTTTATCCTAAAGGATCCCAAAGCACATTACACATAGGAGGGGACCCACTTTATCTGCCATTGTAATGTGGCACCCTCCAGGGTGAGAAATTAATTCACCATTTGAACTGAGAGGGAATTTAGATGGCACGAGTGTGCTAGCCCAGAGCAGAATTTGTCCAGGACGGCAGTGTTAACACCTCAGCCCTTGGTAGGCGCTCTCAGACGTACCTCCTGTGAGATCTTTAATAACCACGTAGTCAGATTTGCGGTTTAACATCTCATTTGAAGGCCAGCAGTCCCCTACAGCACAGTGTCTCTGGTTATGATACTGTGCCACCGGTTTGAAAATGCTGATCCAGATTGAAGAGCACCACCTACTGCTGCTCACAGCAACACCACTCACAGCTGCAACCTGGTTTTATTTAGAGGTCTCCCATCCCAGTACCAACCAGGCCCAGCCTTGCTGAGCTTTTGGGATCCGACACCTAGGCTGGTAGTACTCCTCCTTCTCAAGATTCAGCATTTGTTTTGAGTCGGTACCGGTGCCTCTGACAGACAGACAGGCGGGCGAGTGGCTGGGCTGAGCCTGCCATGTCCAGGCGTGTAAGAGAAGGGGCTTCACTGGCTGCCTGCCTGTCTCTCTGCCTGCCCCTGCTGTGCAGCTGGAGCTGTACCACACGGTGATGTACCGCAACTACCAGCGCAAGAACGACATGGACGAGCCGCCGCCGTACGACTACGGCTCCGGGGACGAGGACATGAAGAGCGAGAAGAGGAAGAGCAAGGACCCGCAGTACGCCGCCATGGAGGAGCGTTTCTACCGCTACGGCATCAAGCCAGAGTGGATGATCATCCACCGGATCCTCAACCACAGGTAGCGCAGACCTCCTGCCTCTGCCCGGGGCTTGGCCTCTGCAGCTTCTTCAGCCCCTTCAGCCCCGCTGCTGAAGAGCTATGTGGCCCCAGGCTTAATGAAGCGATTACAGAGCCATTAGGTGAATGGAGGAGTGGTGGGTCTGACGTTGCAATAGAATGGAAAGAAAATCTGTCCCAGATCACTGTACCACAAGTACCAGCACTGTAGAAATGGGGTGTTAACAAAAGATACAATTAAGTAATTTGTGCCTCATAAGAGCGTTTTGAGATTAAAAGCACAGCTTAAGAATGTTAAGGTCACAAGCCAAAAGAAGTCATTGGACACATCTTGATTGTTTGCTAACAGCTTATCCAGACATTTCTTCTAAGATCCCAGGAAGTCTGTGTCTGAGACAGTTTGTAAAAGGAATTGCCAGTCCCAGGCTCTTCCTCTTAATTTCCATTAATTTCCTTAATTTGATTTTTTTAAAATCATTTTTTCTTTGCTGTTGCGGGGGTCCACTGGGTTGACTTCGTTTGTACCTTTCATTATTAGGAATGCTTATACAAGAACCCCCACATTGGGGGGTACAGCATTGACTTGTTCCACTTTAGTGTGGTAGATTGTTATACCAGTACTTCATTGTACCTTTGCATTCTTAAATATAAAAGAAAAGGCTAGACTGTCCTCCTGACTTTTTGCTTATCTCCCTTGCTGTGTGTGTGCAAGTTTTGATAAGAAGGGAGATGTTCACTACCTGATAAAGTGGAGGGACCTGCCTTATGACCAGTGCACCTGGGAGGTCGATGACTTTGACGTTCCAGAGTACGAAAACTTCAAACAAGCCTACTGGGACCACAGGTGAGCTTGCCTACTGCAGACCTACTGCACGTCTTACTTTGCAATACGACGGGAAGAGCAGAGTAAAATGAGCTTAAACGTAATGAAATCACGGTAGCAGGCATGACAAAGCAGGATAACTCCATGGTAGAAGAATGGTAAAGGTGTGTGCAAAGTGCAAAAATGCACTGTGTTTAACAAAGATAGATGTCTAAGTGAGATTTGTGCATAAGCAGTACATGAATAACCACCTCAGGATGCTGTTTAAAATGTGACATAATGTCGAACCAATTGTGCTCACCACTGAAACAGGTGATGTAAAAAGGTGCTCTGAGAGCTGACTGTTTAGATTCTCTTCTTGCTCAGTGAGATCCGCTCAGCACCGTCAGCATTGTGCCCAGCTCTCAGCCAGAGCGATGTCTGTGTCTCTCAGTGACAATCCCCGTGTGTAAAGTCTGCCTGGTGCTCTCACAGGGAGCAGATGCTGGGGGAGGACATCAGGCCCCTGGGAGTGAGGATGGGGAGGAAAGTCAAGGGTGAAGAGAAGCGGGAAAGGCCCCCCGACACCCCCATCGTCGACGTGAGTGAGCACCACCAGGGGGCGCTGCCACGTGGCACCTGTGACCAGTGCTGTAAAACTTTGGCCAAAAACAAGACGAGAATCCTCTTTGTAGAAAAATGCAAATGCAAAGACAGGACACAGCTTTGCCTATTCTCAGTATATGTCAGAGCTCATTGTAGGTTCAGATAGTAACATTACTTGGCCTTTTACTTGAGAGCCTTCAGATCTCCCACATTAGGGGACAGGGCATTTGACAGGTCAGGTTTGTCATCTGTCTGACTTGGGTGGTGACTTGGGTCTTCACAGGCATGCCGGAAACTGGGGTTTGAATGTAGAAATCACGGTGTTCTCATACTTGATTTGGTCTGGGCAGGTTTTTTGAAGGAGCTCTGTGAATGCACCAGCGGAGCTCCCAAAAACTGTCTGTAATTGTGCTGTAGAACCTGTGGATTGAGATCTAGAGGGACTGTGAAAACCTGATTCATTTGTCTTTACTGGCGCCCTCTTCTTCCCTGTCACCAGCCAACCATCAAGTTTGACAAGCAGCCCTGGTATATTGATGCCACTGGGGGTACCCTGCACCCCTACCAGCTGGAGGGGCTGAACTGGCTGCGCTTCTCCTGGGCTCAGGGCACTGACACCATCCTGGCAGACGAGATGGGGCTGGGCAAGACTGTACAGACCATTGTCTTCCTCTACTCGCTGTATAAGGAGGTGGGCTTAGGGGTCAAGCCTCTTGTGTTTCATGCATCTCCTTGCCTGTAGCTTCTGCATTGACATTGGTGCATTGGTGCATAAGTGCAGAATTGATATTTTCTGACTAGCTGACAATGTCTATATTCACTTCAAAGGTATGCATGTTCTTGTTTCTTGCTTCCACTTGTGTAGATACCCAAACAGATTGATATATATAGGGACGACCTTGTAAAATAGATATAACTAGTACTATACAACCAATACTATTACTATACTACTACTATTATACAATAGTTAAAACTTACCATAACAGTAAAAGTTGAAACTGCAAGTATATTAAAGGTAGCCAAGCTTTCTTTCATCTTAATCAGCTTCTGTAGGACATAAAAAAGATTCTATATTATAATAAAGGATTTCTGTTTCAACACCTGTCTTTGTTGTTGGAATACCGTGGGCATAGTGAAAGTGCTGTACATGGTGGCAGAACCTTATTGAAAAGACACTGTGATCCAGCATGTAAACTTATGATGGTTTTTGTCTGTGGGCCTCTCAGGGTCACTCGAAGGGCCCCTTCTTGGTGAGCGCCCCTCTTTCCACCATCATTAACTGGGAGAGAGAGTTCGAGATGTGGGCCCCTCACTTCTACGTGGTAACGTACACGGGGGACAAGGACAGTCGTGCCGTGATCCGCGAGAACGAGTTCACCTTCGAGGACAGTGCCATCAAAACCGGCCGCAAGGTTTTCCGCATGAAGGTGGGCAGCCTGGAGCAGAGCTTCTTTCGTTGTAACAGAATTCAGGAAAGCCCATCCTGACCGGTGCCTAATGTGAAAGTTGCTTCTTTCCACTTTTTTGGCAGAAGGACACACCCATTAAGTTCCATGTGCTGCTGACATCATACGAGTTGATTACCATTGACCAGGCCATTCTGGGCTCCATCGACTGGGCCTGCCTTGTGGTGGATGAGGCTCACCGCCTCAAGAACAACCAATCAAAGGTAGGGCATATTTACAGGCAGCCAATCGCATCACTTCATGACAGTGTGATGGCTTGCCACCTGGTTTTTCATGGACAGTTAAAGGATGCAGTTACAACTACTGTATATTGTCAAGTGATCTCAAAGTAAGTTACTGGGCTCTCATTATTTTGTAGCCTGTTACAGAGTTTTGTAAACTAGACACGGCTAAATAACAATGAAGAAGATAACTTCTAAATTTTGTAGCTGCAAAATACTTAGGTAATGTAAATTATTGAGAACAGTTTCACGTATGTAATTAAACATAGTTCAACTTGACACTGCATTCTGTCAAGTTCAGCTAGTTTCAGAGCCACTGTCTCCAAGTGTCTTGCAGGTAGCCTTGCTTGCTGAATTAAGCAGCGCAGTATTTCACTATATCCCACAGTTTTTTCGAGTTCTTAATGGCTACAAGATCTACTACAAGCTGCTGCTGACAGGAACCCCTCTACAGAACAACTTGGAAGAGCTGTTTCACCTGCTCAACTTCCTCACCCCAGAGCGCTTCAAGTAAGACTATGGTTATCTTTCTTTTTACTGGTGACCATGCCTTTTCTGATCCTGCTCCATTGTTATGGAATGCCTTTCTTCTGAATCTTCGAGAGACAAATGATTCTATTTAAATATAAACTCAAAACACACCTTTTTAATGGGGCATCTGTTTGTCCTGCAATCTAATCTGTATGTTCTTGTTTACTTTTTCTTTCACTTTTTATTGTACTTTTTTGTCCTTTTCTTTATCACTATGTACATGGGTTTGGAAAGGCACTTTATAAATAAAGGTTATTAGTCTTAAAGAGAAAAGACTACCAGTGGAGCTGGACCAGAATCCTCAAAGGTAGTTAAAAAAACAGTGGTACCAATAGAGAAACATGAACCGAAGGTCACAAAGGTCATTACATGGAAGTGCATTTCAATTTCAGAATAGGGGGCACTTCTTAACACAAAGGATTATGGGAGTATACAAGAAGCTATCCATGCTTTTTGTTAAAACTAAAACCCTGGCTTCTTGAAAGATACTGCTGGATTAAATCGTTAGATCAATGGACAACTAAGTACCAGGCAGGCTAGAAGGGTCAAATGGTTTGCTTTCTTTTATACCCTTTCTTATGTTCTCATGTTCTTATGTTCTTAACACGACAAGCATCATGTGTTGTTAGCTGTGATCGTCTTGCAGTAGCTTCCTGGATAGCTGATCTGATTTGCCAGTCAGCTGTTTTTTGACATTGAATCTGACATGTCCAGTGTCTTCAGCTTGTCACATACCGTACCTGTGTCCGCACAGTAACCTGGAAGGTTTCCTGGAGGAGTTTGCTGACATCTCCAAGGAAGACCAGATCAAGAAGCTCCACGATCTGCTGGGGCCTCACATGCTGCGCCGGCTGAAGGCGGATGTCTTCAAGAACATGCCAGCCAAGACAGAGCTGATCGTCAGGGTGGAGCTCAGCCCCATGCAGAAGTGAGTGACCACATGTTCACATCCGGGGCGTCTCTGCCAGTGCCGTTCTGTTTCTGAATGTATAAAGGGGACCTAAACGTGTACATTTGAGTTGCTGTATGATGAAAAAGAGTTGCAAAGCTACATTCCTGTTTCCGAAGTATGAAGCAGCTTGACATTAGCTTGAATATCCTTTGTTTGCTCTCCAAATGAGCTACATCGGCCAAATAGCCACATCTCACTTGTAACTCCTATTATGTATTAAGTGTCTTTGTGAATTAGTTTTACTTGACAACTGACACAATTTTTTAATCAATTGATTTTTAATATAAATGAACAATTTGGAAGATAGCCCAGATAGCTCCATGGGCTTCTGCCACGGGCTAAACCATTGCCTTATAAGCAGAAATGCTTCCAGGAGCACAGGCTCAAATCCCACTTCTAGCTTTCTAAAACAATCACAGAAGTTTGGGGCAGCATGGTGGCACAGTGGTCGGCATTGCAATGCCGAGACCCTGGGTTCGATTCTGGGGTGCTATCCACATAGCGTTTGGATGTTCTCCCCGTGTTTGTGCGGTTTCCTCCGTGTGCTACGGTTTCCTCCCGCAGTCCAGAGACAAACTGGTAGGCTAACTGGTTTCTGGGAAAACTGTGGCTGGTGTGAATGTGTGCGTGTTTGGGCCTGTGATTGGCGTCCCATCCAGGGTGTATCCTGCCTCGTGCCGATTGCTTGCCTGAATAGGCGCCAGCTCCCCCACGAACCGGAATTGGATGAAACGGTTAGAAATGGGATGGACAGATTCGTGCATGCTCTGTCCTGCAGCTGCACCTTTTAAGCCAGACCCTCTCTGACTCTGTGACCTGCAGGAAATACTACAAGTTCATCCTGACACGGAACTTTGAGGCACTGAACTCGAAGGGGGGCGGAAACCAGGTGTCTCTGCTGAACATCATGATGGACCTGAAGAAGTGCTGCAACCACCCCTACCTGTTCCCTGTGGCAGCTGTGGTACGGCACACCCGAGCACCGCAGCTGACCGGTGAAAGTCACGTGCTGCACTTGACCACACCCCTGTTCTTACTTTGTCACGCTCATTTATCCTGGTTGCAACAGCAAGGCGCTTCATCTAATGGTGAAGTTACCAACTTCTGCCAGTCCCACTGCAAACCTCTATCAACGTATAGCTTCTTTGGTGTTGTTTTCTGACACTGTTAATATAGTGGTGGGCTCAGCTGGACTGAGGTTCTATTAGAAATACGTATTTAAATCACCTGTCTTAACCCTTGATTCATAGCGATATGATATGGTTTGAACCAAGTATATGCTGTCTGTGCCTGCAGGAGGCTCCGGTGCTGCCCAATGGCTCATATGATGGCAATCTGTTAGTGAAGTCCTCTGGCAAACTGACTCTTCTGCAGAAGATGCTGAAGAAATTGAAAGATGGAGGACACAGAGTGCTCATCTTCTCCCAGGTCAGTGTATTTTTCAGTGCACGTGGTGCAGATCTGTTTTGCTGTCTCTCTTGCATCTCGTGGCAGACTAGGGTGTGTACCCGTGTGAATGTGTGGGTGTGTCCTGCGGATTCAGCCTCTATGTGCTTTCAGATGACAAAGATGCTGGACTTGCTGGAGGACTTCCTGGAGTACGAGGGCTACAAGTATGAGCGGATTGATGGGGGGATCACTGGGGGGCTGCGACAGGAGGCCATTGACCGCTTCAACGGTGAGCTTTGTCCTCAGGCTATAGGGCCTTGAGATTGATAGACCCCTAGCTTGGCAGTGGAGGAGTAGGTACTGGCTGCCCAGGAAATCAGCATGTAGCAAAGCAAGAAAACAGAGATTGGAGAGATTCCTCCTAGCAAATGATTGGATCCATGTAGGGTGTGGTGGAGGCAGATGATGAAATTGCAGTTGTGTTTTCAGCAATTTATTATGATAGACGAGCTATTAGTTGGTTTTGCAAATATCTCTGAATAACAGAATACAAATCTTTTAGTAGTTTGCCAGTTAATTTGTTGTTACTGCAGTAGTTCCTGGCTCTGCAATGGAAAGACCAAGCAGAGTGAATCTGTGAACCAACAGTGTGCAACTAGTGACTTACAAACCAGTCTAAGGACTTGTGTTAATCATATATAGCCAGTTTCCCAGAAGAATGTTCAGTGTACCGGTTTCAGTATATTTCAGAAATGATGTAAAATTAATTTGGATCATCTCACAACAATGTGTTATTTTCAGTGTAATTAAAAGAGTCTGTGTATTATCTCCTTTATGGATGGAAAGGAAACTGTGCTGAGCTCAGTGCAGTACAGCTTTACTCCACATGAGGGCAACATACTCACACTCCTCTTGTTTCCCTCACTTGTAGCTCCGGGGGCTCAGCAGTTTTGCTTCCTGCTGTCAACACGGGCTGGAGGACTGGGAATCAATCTGGCCACGGCGGACACTGTCATCATCTATGACTCTGACTGGAACCCACACAATGACATACAGGTAGAGTCGCCCACAGTCACATGCATGTATGGTGTCTTTTGACAACTGAAAGGCTGGAAAAGGCTCAGAACCAACATAGTCCAAAGACTTACATAAGGGCATATCACATGCATCTCATCCAGATGTAAACATTTGTAACACGAGAGCCTTAGAATGTTATGTTTTTGTGTATAGATTCCTATAGAATATGTTTGTAGGAAGTATAGAAGGTGTGTCTTTAATGCCCTTCAGAGCACGCAGCACTGAGTAAGAGAAACTGTCCAGGTGCTCTCCTGTAGTGGGCTCTCCAGGGAGTCCTGTACTTTATCGACCATCCGTCACCTCAGTAGTGCCCCCCTGTCTTTCTCTGGCTCCCTCAGGCATTCAGCAGGGCCCATCGCATTGGCCAGAACAAGAAGGTCATGATCTACCGCTTCGTGACGCGGGCCTCGGTGGAGGAGCGCATCACCCAGGTGGCCAAACGCAAGATGATGCTGACCCACCTGGTGGTGCGGCCCGGCCTGGGCTCCAAGACAGGGTCCATGTCCAAGCAGGAGCTGGACGACATCCTCAAGTTTGGCACTGAGGAGCTATTCAAGGATGATGTGGAAGGAGCAAGAGCCAATGGTACAAGGCCTGTGTGGAGCCATGCCTTGCTGAAGTGTCCCTTTCCTGACGCAGTGGAATCGGCCACTTAGTCCAAATGCACTTGCTTTGCTATGACATACTGTACAGGCAATCCCCCCCTCACTGCTGTGTTCATGCTTTCCCTGTTTTTCTTCTTTGCATTGCCTCACAAGCATACGATCTCTATGTCAAAACTACTTTAATACAGCACATCCATAACAGTACTGAGTCTTTCTGTTTTTGTTATTCTTGCATGTCATATCTCGTTTCCTTTGTACTGGCACTTAATTTAAACATGGTAAGTTACCCAGGACAAGGGCCTTTGCTAAACAAATGATGATATGAACAACATGCAGCCCTTTTCTAGTATACATATCCAAGATATGGTCTACAGTTTTCAAGACATATCCAAAACACTGCATTTTTACTTTTAACAGAGCTAAAGTGGCATCACATCGTGGTTTTGGTCATTTGTGCTGTGCAGCTCATTTCAGTTTTCTGGTACCTCTCAGTGCCTCACCCCACTTGGACATGATGCTTGTGGTATGCATGTCTCCTGTACAGAGCTATCAGAGCACTGTGTCTGTCTTACACAGGCCTGTATTATGTCAATTCAAAAAAGAATATGAATATGTAGTGCAGAAAATGTTGCTGAAATGTAAGTGAGAACACAGTAAACTGCACAGTAATCTGAAACATGCAAAGCAGTGTTGACATAAGTAACAAGAGCACTCAGAATAGGTGGGTTTGTTGGGGCGGTGACAGAGCTGACTGTGTCCCCCTGTTCAGGTGACAATAAAGACGGAGAGGAGGGCAGTGTGATCCACTATGATGACAATGCCATCTCCAAACTGCTGGACCGCAGCCAGGACGCCACTGACGACACCGAGCTGCAGAACATGAACGAGTACCTGAGCTCCTTTAAGGTGGCGCAGTATGTGGTCAGAGAGGAGGATGGGGAGGTGAGCATTGGTTCGCAACAGTCCATCTTAAACACAGCTTCAAGTGGATGAAATTAACATTAGCTAGTTTTCATTTCCTTTAAGCAATCATCTTGTTTATAAGCTGGAATTCAAAGTCTAGAGACTGAAGAACTGTTTATGGAGCGGAGTGGTCTGCTTAGTCTGGAGCAGAGTTGCATCTATAATTCTTTGCATTTAAGGAATCTGTACAAGATTCCAAAAGAAGTTTTGCTTCACTTGTGAAATTGTTTGCAGTTTAAGTTACTGGAGATCACAGTTTACAAACTAGTAGGGGATTCCAAGAAATGCATTAGGCTTGGTTCCTGATGCCATTGAACTGGTTAAATTACTCATTGCAACAAACTTTGATGACAATGTATGAGCCAATTCCCAGTATCACATATGCTGCACACATGGGATAGAGAACAAGAGTTTTTGCACTACTGGAGCACTCGGAGCCTTGTGTAAACACCCTGGTGCTGCTGTGTGTTTGTCCAGGAGGAGGTTCAGCGTGAGATCATCAAGCAGGAGGAGAACGTGGACCCTGATTACTGGGAGAAGCTGCTGAGGCACCACTATGAGCAGCAACAGGAAGACTTGGCCAGGAATCTGGGCAAGGGCAAGAGGATCCGCAAACAGGTCAACTATAACGACACCTCCCAGGAGGACCAAGGTATAAGTGCACTCCCCTCCACAGGAGAACACAGCCCTGCAGCTAGGGGTTGCACCTGGACAGTCCGACATGGACAGTCCAACATGCTGCTCATATGTAGTTCACCTTTGTTAGTGTGCACGTGTGACATGGGATGGGTTTTATTTAAGGCAACACACTCCTGTCTATCCCTTGAGATTCAGAGTTCAGACAGCTTTTCTAGATCCCTTTAAATGACCTGCAGCTTAGTACCTGTGGAGAATGGGATAATCGTTAAGTTAGCCACAAATAACACTCTTTGCCCCAGTTTTAAACTATAAAAGATTTAGAGAAATGCAGTAAAGGTGATCCTAGTCTTGCAGAACCTCAGTCTCCTCAGGAATTTGCTTTCTTTCCAAGGTCTGAAATATTTTTGAAAAAAAAAAACAATGACTAGTCATACCCAATAACAACTCCTTGTTATTTAAAAGCGTTATTTAAGTGCTGTAGCACAGAATGAGCAAATGGTATTCAAAGAACAGTGGTCTCTTGACAGTGCAGTACGGATTACCTTTTAGCTTGCCAGGCTACAGTAATCAAAACACCCCAGTGTAAATTGCAGTGAGGGCAGTTGCTCATGCTGCCCCCTAGTGCTCAGCAGGATCAGGGCAGTAGTACTTAAGGACACTGCCTCAGGGTGTACTGCAGAAATGATTGCACTGTACTGTTTCTCTCTGATCTGTGGCTCAGAGTGGCAAGATGATCTTTCAGACAATCAGTCCGAGTACTCCGTGGGATCTGAAGACGAGGATGAAGACTTTGAGGAGAGGCCAGAAGGTGGGTGTGTGACAGGGCTGCCCTCACTGGAAGGGGCAGGATGCCAAAAAGTGCTGTATCGCTGTGTCTATTTTAAATCAATTCTTGTAGTGCAGAAATTATTGAAAATAGAGAAAAGACCTTTTTTCTATAAGGAGTGTTTTTTGTTGTTTCCATTGCTTTATAATGGGGTGATCTGCAATTGGCTCTGTGTTTTATTAATTTAATCTTCCTTTTACATTCTCACAATGAGATGATCTTCTTGCTGATGTGATTTAAGCTACGCAGTATATTAAGTATGTGGAACACATAAAGTAATGCTGAAAACAGAGCAAGAATGCTAAATGTAGAACACACATGGTGCACCTGCACACTGTAGATCAAGATGAGGTCATCAAGAGTAAAGGTATATACTGTAAGTAATACAGATACAGACTGGACCCTCAGCATGCATTTCTGTGTGGTCATCCTTTTTGTTTTCCCTCGGCGTTTGGCGCGGCTCCTGGTGGTGAGGGCTGTGTTGTTTTGCAGGGGGGCGCCGGCAGTCTCGGAGACAGCTGAAGAGTGACCGCGATAAGCCCCTGCCCCCTCTGCTGGCAAGAGTCGGGGGGAACATCGAGGTAAGAGAGGGGAGGGGAGTGTCACTGCTGGGCCTGCAGGCCAGGAATCAATTCATGTTTATCACGGCAGCTCGTTTTAAATGCACTATTAACTTTTTGTGGTAATATTTATCTCTGCTGTCTGCCGTACGCCTTGGACTATAATTCGATGATGTATCCAGTGTATTGATGTATCTGGATGTGTAATGTGCCTATTTTACGGAAGCAACCCGTTCTCAGTTTGTTGCCCGATTTTGAAAAGTACCTGGTCCAGATAGATGTTACCTCCTTGAGGCACTGTGCACACCACAGCTTGATAAAGAGCCTTTCCAATGTGGAGGCTGGGGCTCGGCACAGGCCATCTCTGTCTGGTCTGTCATATCTGTGGATTTGATGATAGTCTGCTGGACTTCTAACTGGAACCCTCCCTCCCACCTCCAGTCAAAACACTATGCTCCTGATAAGTGTTTTTTTTTAATTCTTCCTAAGCATCTTTGTTGTACTTGGTGAGTTTTGTGACTGCTGCTGCCTGGTTGATTGCTGGCAGGTGCTGGGGTTCAATGCCCGACAGCGAAAGGCCTTCCTCAACGCCATCATGCGCTGGGGAATGCCCCCCCAGGACGCCTTCAACTCCCACTGGCTGGTGCGAGACCTGCGTGGGAAGAGTGAGAAGGAATTCAGGTATACCTCCACTACGGCTGCTTTCTAAAAGGGACACTCCTGTCACCTGAAATGAACAGCGCCTGTGCGGAATGTGTTGATGAATGTGGTCCTGTAGGTCAGATCTCATAGAATGTTTTTATTCAGTTATAGATGATATGCTCTTTCTTTCCTATGTTAATATAAGTTTATTTTATTACTTTATTAGACTTGCAGAGTCACAATTTGTAAATCCTTCCCTTATTCATTTTTTTTTTTGCAGGTTTTTAAAATTTGCCCTTTGCATGTGCTCCCAGAATGTTTTACAGATTTGAACTTGACCCATGACGGTGATGCTGCTGTTGTTGGCTGTGCGCATTTTGTATCTGCTGATCCCTCACTCTCTCTTCCTGCTTCTCTCCCTTTTCTCCCCCCACCACCTCTCCCTTCCTCCCTGTTTCTTCCCTGTCTCTCCCAGAGCGTACGTGTCCCTGTTCATGCGTCACCTGTGTGAGCCTGGGGCCGATGGCGCGGAGACCTTTGCGGATGGGGTCCCCAGGGAGGGCCTGTCCCGCCAGCATGTCCTCACCAGGATTGGAGTCATGTCCCTAGTTCGCAAGAAGGTACCCTCTGTCTTACACTCTCCACCTTCATAACCGGGGTTCACACATCGTCATCTGACTGCAACTGCAGTTTCCACGAAACAACTGGAAAGCGGAGCAATAAATACATGCATATGCCAAGTTTGCAAATGGGAAATGTAATTAAACCACAGACATGCACAACACACATTGGCAAAGCACAACATACTGGAGCATAAACATTAATGCAATAAAAACATTAATGTTTATTAATGGCAATAAAAGTGCTCATCTCTCATCTTGGCTACACAACCCAACACTGAATTCAAGCCGTTCGACTTTGATGGTTTAACATGCCCCAGCGAAGCTACTTGTCTTTTATAGTGGAGACTTTTAATCCATAACATGAAGAAAAAGGGTTAGAGAGAAAGAAGAGGAAGAGCTGAAGAGAGATGGAAAGAGGAGAGACGCTGCAGTCCAGTGGTGTACCTGTGGTTCTGTGTGTCTGCAGGTGCAGGAGTTTGAGCACATCAATGGGAAGTACAGCACTCCGGACCTGGTGCCCGAGGGCATTGAGGTGAAGAAGCTGAGTGAGAGCCTGTCCTCTGACCCCAACACCCCTGTGCCCGCCAGCCCTGCTGCTACCCAGCCTGGCACCCCTGTACCCACTGGTAAGAGCCCAGACTGATGCACTCTCAGCACAGACAGCAACATTGAAAGGTATTTTAAAAAAGGGCTTAGGCTCAAAATCACATGTGCAGTAGCATTAGGTTCACGCAGAGCTCTGTAAATAAATGCTCTGATCTATAGCTTGTTTGAATTAGTCATATAAATATGTTGATTTCAGTAGCTCCGCCAAGTTTAATTTACAAGAAAACAAGCAGACAATTTGAAAGTTGCCTTGCTAAGGAACTGACAGCGCTGGATGAAGATCAGAGCTGTCACAACCCCGTCGTGCGAGGAATGAACCAGGGAGCTGCTGAGAGGGTGCAGTCGGGGAGAAGTGAGAAATGCAAGAAAAGATGCTCTCAGAGTTGTGGGCAGCCAGGGAATATTTAAACACAGGAGAGTGGAAGTGTAAGATAACAATTTGACGACTTCTTGAACTTCTGTTAAATAACACCATTTATTGATTTTAAAATGTTTGGCATAGTATCCTTAAGAATTTCACTATGACAAAGCTATTGGCAGATCTTCTGCAAAATCATCTTTGCTAGGGTTGTGCAGTTAGTCCTGCTTTCCAGAGGATAGCAGGGAGCTCAGCAGACGACTCCTGTGTGTCGTAGAGTCTGACAGCCAGCGTGTTGTTGTTGTCCTGCAGAAAAGATGGAGTCGGTTCCAGGGCCTCCTGAGGACAAAGAGTCGACGGAGCAGGAGAACAAGAAAGCCGCTGAGTCTGAGGTCAGTGTCAGGTCTGTCCACCTGCCAAAGGGGGGAGTGTGTCTGTCTGTTTCAATGCAAGAGCAGTATTACTCTCTCAGCAGAATCTCATTCCAAGCAGACACATCCTTTATGGAAAAAGAGGATTTGTGCTACTAATCCTAAGTGTGTAGAGAATTAAGATCTCTGTATCTGCTTGTTATAGAAGTGTAGAAGAAAAGTCAAATTCAGATCACTGTCAATTTATGCTCGGAGATGACTACAGCACTTACTGCTTTACAGTCCAGAGTCTAGTCAGGATTTGGAATGACCTAGCCTACAGCAAATCAGCTTTGGACAAATTATTTTTTCCTAGATTTCCTACAATTTGCTGGAAAAGGGATTATGGCCAGTGTCAGAGAAGATGTACACTGCTCACTGCTCCCACTTGCTGGCAGCCCGCATGGCCTGAGCAGTTATTCACTCAGCCCATAGAGTTGTGGGAGACATTGACACCTGTGTCTGGCAGGTTCCTTCTAGCACCGAATCCTCCCCCAGCGCAGAGAAGCCCCCCGACAGCGAGGAGCCCAAGGGTGGGGGTGGTGATGAGCGGCCTGCAGCAGACAGCGAGAAGGCAGACCCAACAGTGGAGCAGGCAGCACCCAAGGGTGAGGAGGAACTAAGCCCCTTTTTGGAGGCAGATAGGTCAATGCAGAAGGTGAAGATACCAGTGCATCTACAATCATCATTAGAATTTGTTGGACAAATCAGTACATAGAACATACAGAATTAACACTGCAATATGTTTAGGTTTCTTAAAAAGTGCAGTTTATTTAAATTGTGGAAATGTAGCACATTAAGGTAAAATGATATGCAGGATTTGGAAAAATAAATTACCTGTGGTTTCGTTCTGGGTCTATTTACCACTTATTTATTGAAGAAAAACAGATAAAAACATTATCCGACATGTTTCAGCTCCGAAGGCCATCATCAGAGTTTGAAAAAAAATCAGAACAGCCCTTTTTAAACCTAGCTGGTTTAAACACACTGATAAAAGTTCAGTAAATTGAGAGGATTTTAGAATTAGGTGTTTAACCTTATATCTTACTATTCATATGTTTGCATTGAAAGCTGTCCACAGGAAAGAGGGGCTGGATTATAAGAAACTCATGCACCATGAATCATTTGAGATACTGTACAAGTTGAATACAATAACAGCGAAGAGTTTGATTTTGCTTCATATGTAACTGAATAGACAGCATGGTGGTGCACTGCTTACAAACTGCTGGCTCACAGTGCTGAGACCCAGAGTTCAGTCCTGGATCTGGGGTGCTACCTGCATGGAGTTTCTGTGTTCTCCCATTTTCATGTGGGTGAACTCCCACAGTGGGAAAATTGCCCCTAGGTGTGGGGGTGTACATGTTTGTGTTTGTGTGGGCCCTGTAATGACCTGGGGTCCTGTGCACTATCTACCTGTCCCTTGCTCAGATAGGCATCAGCTCTCTGCCACCCTGAATCGGAAGAAGCAGTTAAAAAATGGATGCAACTGAATGATTTTGGGCCTGACACACTAGGAATCAAAGCTGAGTCTGGCATGAAGACCTTCAAAAGGGCTGTGGAATTAAATAAAAGGGAAACTTGTTCCTTTTCTTTACATCTCTATCCAATTGTAGTGTTATTGATTATCCATAAAGAAAACAAAATAAAAATTAAATTGAAATTTATTTCCCATACTTTAAGGCAGCAGTGTTACCACATTGTAGCCTGAACTGCTCAGATCTCGGAAGCTAAGCAAGACTGGGCCTGGTTAGTACAGGCGTGAGAAATGTCCAAGGAAAACAAGTGGAGGGAGCCCCTGTAGGGGGAGCTCTTCCCTCTGGGCCAGAATTTCCAAACAAGCAAGATTCCCAGTGTGGTGACCAGGAATGCTGTACAGTAGATGTCATCCTGCTGATGAGATTGAAAACTGAGGAAACAATTACTTGTCTTCTAATGATTCTGTGGCACCTTTTGAAATAGTAAGGGGGGAAACCTGGGTTATAGATTGTGTTGATAACTTAACTTCTCCACCTGATCTGCTGTGTAGACGAGAGAACTGCCCTTCACTGTGAGGCACTTCAGACTTTGCTTTGAGGACCGCTGGGATCAAAAGTGCTGTATGAGTGCACAGAATTATCACTGCGGAAAGGGAGCAAGTCCTCTTTCGGAACAGGGTCCATTTCAGCCTGGAAGTTGTGATTTGCTGCTGCTATGTGTTTTTCCAGGGGATCTGGGTCGAGAGACAGAAAAATCTCCAGACAAGGGGGAGAGTAACCCCGCCCCTGTTAAAGGAGAGGACAAGGAGCTCAAACCGGGTGAGTGCAGGACAGAGAAAGAGGAGGGATGAAGATTTCCAGATAGGGAAAGCTAAATCAGTGACTGTCTCATAACAACAGAGAAAGCAACGAAGATTCAGAGGCTGAAAGAAATAAGGACCGAGATCAGAGATGGAGATTGCTGGCAAAAAGAGCCGTGCAGTAGATGCCGAGATGAGCAGATGAAAGTGACAGAGTGGAGGTTATGGGGGTGACGGTGTTCTGGGGTGTTCCTGTGTCTGCCTCTGCAGCGGAGGAGGTGAAGAGGGAGGAGACCCCCGACAGTCAGCTGAACGGAGAAAAAGAGGGAAGGGAGGAGATGGAGGAGAACAGGCGGGAGGACAAGAACTGCAGCAAGATGAAGTTCATGTTCAACATCGCGGATGGGGGCTTCACAGGTCAGAGCGTCGTGGCCTCTTGTGCGTATCGTGGTTTACGGGAGTGGGAGACCAGAATTTGAAATATAAGGTTAGACGCTGTGGGAATTGATTAATAGACATCCATTGACTCTGAATGCAGATTGTTGGACAGTAAGAGATATATGGTTCTTCCCAGTAATATACAGTATGATTTTGCCAGCCCAGTCAATCTCACTCCTCAGTGAAGTCCCCTGGTTCGAAGCCTGGTATAATGAGGCAGGGCTGAAGGTGAAGGTCACTGATGCAGCGTGGGTACACAGTTGGTGGGCACGGGGGTTCCTGCGGAGCGTGGGTATGCATGTGTGAGACGGACTGTTGGCACGACTCTGTGCTTTCGCAGAGCTGCACACGCTGTGGCAGAATGAGGAGCGAGCGGCCGTCTCCTCGGGTAAGATGTACGACATCTGGCATCGCAGACACGACTACTGGCTGCTGGCCGGCATCGTCACGTATCCTTCCCAGCCTGTCACAGCGCGATGAGCACATAGAAGGACACTGCAGCAGCACCAAATGTCAGCAGCTTTACAGTTTTTCAATGATATACTGCCCTTGCCACCATTTCATAGAACTGGCCTCATATTGTTTCAGCAACAGCTCATTCAAAAGGTAGCTGCACATTTGTGTGGAGCAGTGCCGTGATAAAATGAGCATCGTTGCCGTGGGGAGCAGACGTGAACATTTCCAGATAGGGTTGCTTTCACTTGTGTATGGAGAGCCTGCTGGAGACAATCGTACACAAGGCTGGTGCCTATTGTTCAGATGTGGACATACTCTGGTGAATTCAGAGAGTACAGACAGTAGTATTCATACAGTATGGATTATGGAATGTCCAGATTCTAGTGTTGCTGGAAATCTGTTATTTAGGACTGGGCACACTGGCGCGTGTTTCTGTGCCCCTGTTATGTTACGGTGTTGTCCTTGATGGGCGGCCAATCTCAGACATGGTTATGCCCGCTGGCAAGACATCCAGAACGACCCCCGCTACACCATTCTGAATGAGCCCTTCAAGAGCGAGGTGCACAAGGGCAACTACCTGGAGATGAAGAACAAGTTCCTGGCCCGCAGGTTCAAGGTGAACCCGTCCTGATGGGTTTTTTATGTAAAAGACAAAAACATGTGCTAGAAGTTACACGATTCTTACCTCACTATGTAAAATTAAATATACAGTAGTGACATTGAAATGTAAAAATACATCTCAGCTACTTAACTAGTGTTCTATACATGTTTCCATATACAGTGTTATGTATATTGAAAGACAAGTGTTTCTTGCCTTGAGTCCACTGTATGTCATTTACATTTGCCACCAGTGCTTCCTTGGAGAGATGTGTTCCTCAGCTGGTGTTATTCCGTTTCCTATAGTTATGGGGACTGATGTCTTTTGCCTTCTCCCTCTGTCTCAGTTGCTGGAGCAGGCTCTGGTGATCGAGGAACAGCTACGGCGGGCCGCCTACCTCAACATGACGCAGGACCCCAGCCACCCGGCCATGGCGCTCAATGCCCGCTTCGCTGAGGTGGAGTGCCTGGCAGAGTCCCACCAGCACTTGTCCAAGGAGTCCCTCGCTGGAAACAAGCCAGCCAATGCAGTGCTGCACAAAGGTCTCTACTACAAACCACCAGCTGCTCTGGAACAGCCCTGATGCGGGTTCTTGAGCAGCTGGCAAGAGCTCCACAGCCTCATAATGCCTCCCAGGCCCCCACCGGTTCTGTAGAAAAAGAGCTTTGTCATTCTCATAGTGTCCAACGATGCAACATAACTTTGTCCCCCATTCTTGTCTCATCGAGGCCGATTCAGTTTTGGACTATTACAAAAATGAATATACAAGGGCTACACATGCCTAGATAGTCTAAATTAAACAAAGGCAGCTTGTTGACACAAGACACCAATTGCATGGACCCATTTAAAAGAAGGCTGGCAAGAGACAGTAGGTTGTGATGATTCTTCTCGCCATCAATAATGAGCTCCAGTATGTCTGTTAGGTTCTGCCCGATACAAATGGGGTGTGTTGTACAGCACAGGAGATGTAACCATGCAGATCGGGTTGAAGAGGGGCTTGTTCCCCCCGGAGCTGTTACTGCCAGCGTGTTACAGCTCTTATTGTCGTTACTCACCCGCTGTCTAAGGCTACAATGCCCTCGCCTGCTGTGTTTCCTGTGACTGATTGACCCATTGCTGTTGCAGTGCTAAACCAGCTGGAGGAGCTGCTGAGTGACATGAAGGCAGACGTGACGCGGCTGCCCTCCATGCTGTCTCGGATCCCCCCAGTGGCTGCGCGCCTTCAGATGTCAGAAAGGAGCATCCTGAGCCGACTGACCAACCGCGGCAACGAGCCCCCACCCCAGCAGGTGAGGACCCCCACTGTCCTCCGTCTGCTGTTATGACTCTTTCACTTATTTTTATTACTCTTTGAGTTCTGTGAAGCGTGCAAAATAAAGAAATGGGCACGACTTACAACAAAACATGGAAAAACCGTGGCCCCTTCTAATGGTTACACTAGACGCAGGCTTAAGACAAAACTGCCAGGCTCTGCACTCCAAGCCCCGCCCCCAGCTCCTCTTGATGAACAGGTGAGCCTCCATTTAGAGCAGGGGTGAGTCAGGGTCTGTAACCTGGCACAAAATGGCGGCACAGACAGGAGACGAGGACAGCATAGTGGTTCCACAACAGGTAAGGCACAAATACATCGAAGAAATTAATAAGATCAACGATAGAAATGAATATGCAAGAATGAAATTACAGTTGCAGACGATGATGATTTATTTATTGATAAATAAATAAAGGTTATAAAAGACTTCATAAGAAGTCATTCAACCATGTAGCAGTACTTTGTCACATTGTTAGGCAATTACTGTGATATACTGTGCATACTGTGTCTCCTTCACCGTTCATTTGTTTGTCTGGGTGAAAAACAGTGATGGTGTCTGTCAGTGGACTGGTGGGGCTAACGTTTCTGGGTTTATTGAAACGCAGCACTTTGTCCACAGTTATTCTCTACAGTGCGTAAAATGCACAAGTTCAAGCGTATTGTGTTTGTATATCTTGCCCAACATTATACTCAATGTATTAAAAAGACTGGAAAATATGTTTGAAAATATGCTGCAATGACAGAAGAGTGATCCAATTTCTCCTAAAAATAAAGGAAAATGGTCAAATGTCTAAAATAACCATTCAAATTTCCCGCATTTGACAGAGCTGGGGTTTTCCCATAATGAGCAGCTGGGCCTGTTGACTGAAGGTTCTGCCTGTAAACGTATCTACAGATTCTCATGAGGAAGATGCAGAGCCTCACGTGTGCCAGTTTCTGGATGAGACATAAAATCAAGGATATGTTGCAATTACTCTGTGGTGCACACACTCTGCGCAAGTCTCCACGGAAAAAAAAAATCATATCCCTAGACTGCTGCATGACTAATCAACCAATGAAACAATTTGAAGGGGCAGTGTGTACACGCAGTGACTGCAGTCATGCTGTTATCTGAAGTACAGCAAAGAGTGCTGGCTGATACTATACAAGTTTGCGAACAGTATAAATATGGGTGTGTGGACAAAAAGACACTAAATGCGTTTATTTACTTTCTGCAGCCATTCCCACAGGGCTCCTTCGCATGCTCTCAAATGTACGGCAACAATTTTGGGACAAACTTCCGTGGGCCTGGAGCGGGGGGCATTGTGAACTACAGTCAGATGCCTCTGGGTCCCTATGTGAGCGGTGAGTGACGATAGCGGTCGGGGTGGGGGCAGAGTTGGTTCTTATGAATTGTTTGGATTGGTTACACTTCATTTCTCTGGCCAGCATCTACCAACGGCCCCCCGGCTCCCTCGGGCCACCTGGACAAGAGGCCCACTGACCCCCTGAAGGAAGTCTCAGGCCCAGAGCACAAGACGGGCAAGTCTAGTGATGTCATCTGTATCGAGGACTAGCCCCTGTGACTGCTCCCCTGCCAACCCCCCTGCTGCGCAACACAGCAAAGAGTCCAAATCTACTCTATTAAGGAGCTCCTATTAAAGTGACATATCTTCTTGCACTTGTTTGCCTCACAGAGGACATGGAGAAGCTGGGGCTCTCTGACATGCAGTACACACACGTCCAGTCTCCCGCATCGTTGCTTTTGTCTTACTGTTACAAGGAAAGTCACGGGTACCATGCAGCCAGGCAGCGCAAGTTTACCGCTACCTGGCTTTTCCCTTAGCTAAGTGTTTCCTTTCTCATCCCAGCTTCACACTGAGCAGGCAGGTGACTGGAAGTACCTGTGCTGGGTATTTAAGCTTGCCATTGTTTTTTGGGCAGGTTGCTACACCAGCTTTCAGCATATCTTTTCAATACAGTGTGGCTGCAATCTGTTTATCCTTTTGTTGAGTTGACCGCTTAATGCTTGTAACTTCTAATTGGATTTGAAGCCAGGGAACTTGAAGCTGAAGCATCTGATGGTGTCCCCTGCCCCAGCCCCAACCTCCTAAATAGCTTCCTCTCTCTCAAAAGGACAATGTGCTCTAGAGCTCAACCTTCTGGGCTTTGACTGTGATCGACTCCTACAGATCTCCGCTCTCCTGTTGGCTTGGTCTACCCGCTCTCTGCTTCGATAGCTTGCAGCACTTTGTATATCCAGCCAGCCTCCAGGATGCCAACACTGATTCAGACAGAGAACATGGGAGCTCTGGCATTTTTCCCAGTGCAAGGACAGACACATACATTGCAGAGGCTGCAGACAGTTTGTCATTCTCAAAAAGAGTGGGAAAACTTGGTCACACATTTTTTTTTAATTTTTATATTCTTCTATGCATTTTAACAGCCAAATGGAATGTGGGCATTTTCTGGGATGATCTAGTGAAAAAAGGTGTCCCATCCACCTCCAGCAAACCTATTGCTCTATCAGTCTGTCAAGCCTCTCCTGGTGCAGTACACCTGCTATGGAACAGCATGACTCTTAGCCTAACCTTTCCCAACATGCAAAGCAAATCAGTGAGCTCATGGGATTTGCAAAATAGCTGTTCTGACATTGCAAGCCATTGTTTTGCTCTTTAATTGATCCTCTAAAACAAGAACAGGTCAAGAATGTAACTCACAGAAAGCGATGCCAGAAAGGAAAGATACTGGCTGCCGATACCTCTCACGTTGCTTGTGCTAGAGCATAACAGAAGAGGCTGCTTGAGCATTTTCTTTTGTTGAAGAATCCTTCAGGTCTGGTGATTTTTACTTTATTTTTTGGGGTTAAGGTATTCTTGGAAACTTCTTTTGTAACCGTGTCCTGCTGAAAACCTGCTTGATGTCTACAGGTTGGTCAGTTTTGCAGTCACACTGACGTGGTTATCATCTACAGAGGCTGATGGTCCTGTGCTTTGTAAGGTGTTATTGGATTAATGTAGTCAAAGATGTTAGTCTGTTTTAAAACTGGTTTTTACTCTTGATATGAAGCTGCTCATATCAATATGCATATCAAGCATATCAATCCTTAGTTACAAGTATCGAACAACCACATCTGTTGTTCAATATTCTGGATTTCCAAGCAAAATTAAGATTTTTTAAGGTAAAGTGCATTCTCTTCAATTCCATTTAAATACCTTAAGTATGGCAGAATTTAAAATAGCAAAATTATCACTCCGGGATTTTTAATATTAGATTTTCATTTAAAGGGCCTTTTACTTTAGTTTTGAATAATGAACTTTCAATAACTAAAACGAAAGGAACAGTATACTGTATGCACATTGTGATGTATATGATGTAATATCATCTAGTCTGTGTGGGTTGCATCTTGAAGTGCTTTAGCATACAGGAATAATTGGGCAGGTTGAATTCGTAAGAAGAAAGGTTGTGCCACTCTGTGGGCACCACTGCCTTGACCATTTTTTTGCTGTTGGGAAATGCAGAGATACAAACAGGAGCAAAGATCCAGAATGCCTATGACTTTCAGGTCTCAAGGAGACTGGAGATGATCTTTTTACTTTGTTTTGAATTCATTTTTCCCCCCATAAGAAATCAAAGTGGCACAACTAGTGGCTTTCACTGTCTTTTTTTAGTTTGGGCTGGATGGACTTTCAACATGGTGGAGGCAATGTTAAAGCAAAGATAGCTTCTTCCAGGCTTAATTCAGGAAGATTTTACTTGGAATAAAGAAGGAACCACCATGTCAAACAAAACATTCCATATCCTTTATGTGGTGGTCAGAATTGTTGCAACTGTGATTTAAAGTCCTAAGGAATGGAACCAAATTGAAACTACCTTTTTGTACCTTTGAGAGGCACTTAATGATTGTTATGTTTTTATGCCTGTATGTGTTTAAGCATAAGGACAGGGCCACATGTGGTCCAGTTGAACTGGACATTAGTGCAGATTTTTTTAAAGAATTAGACGATGCCCTGTTTCAAACCTCGTGCTTACTCACATTGTACAAGTGACTTAATCTTTAGAAAAGGAAATAGAGTTTAGAACGTCTTGCTGTAATTATAATAGGACTGTAAAAATGCAGGTTCATGAATGTGGCCAGTTCTTTGTTGTGTGTGAGAGGACTTGAGGAATGTTATTACTGCTCAGAAACTGGTACTGAGGTCAAATTTTAAAAAAATGTTTAGATTGTCTTTTTATTTTTCACTGGGTCCTGCAGATGAAGGTTGAGGCTGGCAGATATGGGGAAATATGTACTACTAGCAAAACAAAGAGCAATTGAAGAAAACTCCATGTTGTTCAAAAACTGAGTGGTGCATCTAGGCTTATTGTGTGCTGCAGCTGCAGAGGCTGTGTTTAACCTGTTGTAGAAGCACTTTAACAACAGAAAAGCAAATCTGAATGGAAGTCAAAGGTGCCACAAAACGTGGTTAAAAAGATAAATGTCAATGCATTCAGCAACACATTTCAAATGGCTCATGAAATCAGTCTTGTAAAGTACGCAGTTGTTCTAGAGCAACTACTCCTTATCCTGTCTTAAGAGTGTTGTGTAACAGGAATTATTGGCCCTCTATTTGTATTGTTTATGTAACTCTGAAAACTGTAAATATAAGATATCTTTGTGCATACTGCTTTTTCCCCCACTTTCCTTGACAGTCTGAGAGACTTTGCCAGTTCAGTGCAGAGCCACATAGCCTATCTCACTAAGGTTTAGCAGAAGCTTGCTCGTGCCGACAATGACCAACATTTTCAAAGAGCTGCAGAACATTATAAAGTTATACAGCAGCAGGAAAAGTTCTGAACCTTTGCCTCTTACGAACACAGGCAGTATTCCAAATGAATGTTTTGCATGTTCAGACTAAATGATTGGGTCTGATACTTTGATCCCTTTTGTCTTTGACCATGCAGAGTAGTTACTTTAAAACAACAGTGTTGAAGTCATTAGATTTCTTATAATCAGTGTTCATTTCCTTTAGAAGTGCCAGAGAAGGACCTATAAATAGAAAATCAACTGAAAGTGTACAAAACAACAGAAATGCAATCACACTGAAGCCCTCGAGAATGTAATGAAAATTGTACTGCTACAGCGGTGCAAAATATATATATTTAAAGAAGAGGCTTCAGTCTAAAATTATAAATATATATATATGAATAAAAAAAGCTTCAAAAGCTGTCAAAAGAAAAGCTGGAAAAGAATACTTTTTTAAAAGAAATGTATGCACAGCATGTGAAATGTTTTTTTATGAAGGTTCGTAATGAAAGATGAAAAAACAGCACAGTATATAAAATAAGGACAGTAACGTACTGTACGGACTTGACCGGCGCTGAGCTAGGGGCATTTGTAAATGAGAACAAATGAAAGGAAGAAGTAAACGTGGTCATCTTTTACTTTGTACTCGGTGTATTTGTTTAATGTGTTTTAATAAATCCTCTCTGTAAGAAAGCAGACATTTTCCACGTTTCATTTTTTCTTTCTTCCAGTGAGAGACAGCAAAGAGTAAGCATTGTTTCAGACACATCTGCATAGAATAACACGTTTTCTGTATATACTGTATGTATAGGCTGTGTATTTAAATACCATTATCGGTAAAGTGAGGTGTATGGTTTTATTGATGATCACAGTTAATACATATTATTGGCCTTCCCTTCATGGGCTGTCATACCTTGTACTGGTCTGTCCAAACAATGAATAATAAGCTACATTTGACTTTTGTGTACAAACCTATAACATATATATACAGCCCAAACGAACATGCTTTCCTCAGAGTGTAAAGATGTAATCCAGCTGACAGGCATCTGCAGTATACAGTATATGAGACATTAGGAATGACACATGGAACACTAACCTGGTCGACAGTGGACTAAAAAGCATTACTGCTTACAAGCATTATATCATTAGAACAAGTAACGTGAGCAATTATGGTCTTTCTAACCCATATTAAGATTGTATTTGTTTGAATCCTAAAGCTGTATGGTTTAATGTTTATGATATATGTTTTCTATATCCATACCTGTATGTATCAGGTGAATAAATTAAACTTTTTGACAGCAGTGTTTTGGCAAAAAGCCTAGCTGTTTTCACCTTACAGTCCTGATTGTCTTTGACTCGTAAGCTAACCCTTTGTGACTGACACAGGAAGGAGAAAGGATAGGCATGAGAAATACTTTGCCTGACAGGTCTTTCCACACAGCATTGCCCTATAACATGGAAGATGACCACCATCATCTTGTCAGAGCAGGCTCAAACAACAAATCGCTCTTCTCCTGAATTTAGGCAACATTTATTCTGAACATATAAATTCATTTACCACATACTCTTCCTATTAACACATTTGTACAAATCACCCTTTGACCTACAATATATGCATGAAAAATATTCACACCCTTTCCCTTTTCCCTTATGTTGAATAAAATGGACAATGACAAAAAGAAATGAAAAAAGCAAGGCTTTCTCACAGCTGTAAAATTCTTCAAAAACCACAAACCTGATTTTTCTTTCCCTTTTGCCTTCTCAACCCTGTGTGCTTACTGGGTTTAGTTTTCCTGTGCAGATTTACAGATAAAAAAAAACAACACATGCTATCTACATGAACCATCTAGCGAATATCACACAGTTTTATGGATTGACAAAATTTTTCTTCATCCTACACAAGTCTACTAATTATATAAAGTTGGAAATGCAGCAGTGACACCTTCTGGTAAAGGCTCAGAGGGCACCTGAGAACACATTCAGATTGCGTACTGAGCACAGCAGTGCACATCAGGAAGCAGCCAGTGACAGTGATGCACATGATCCTGTATGAAGTCTGCTTCAGCATTACCAACATTTCCATTTGCACAGTAATACATTCAAGTCCTTGTGCACACTTCCAAGTCTCTGAATGTACTTTAATCAGCTAAATTATGTTATGGATGCGGTTATCACTTTTGCCATTAAAAATGTAACTAGTTCCCATCAGCCCTTTATGGCTTATCACTGCATTGATAAAATATGGGCACTGTGTGGAACACGTTTTGGTGCTGCTCAAGGCACTTTGCATGCACAATATTTGTCGTTATCCTAAATGACAGATTCGGCTATAAAGTATACACCAAAAATGTCATACACTTAAATGTAAATTTAATTCATTGTAACTATATTCAACACAAATCGTCTCCCAGTTAATAGCACAGATTAAGTCTTTAAAAAACATGTAAAAAATCTGTTAAAGGTTTCTACTCCATCGATAACCATAAATACAGACGCATTTCACTTCCATTTTCCTCACTCTTTGGCCTCTTTGGCCGCAAAGCCTTTCCAGTGTGTGCAAGACCCTCACTTTCTGAACCCTGCTCGGGCAGTTCCTGGAAGGACATCAAAGCCAGATCTAAGAAAGTTCAGCAGTAAGAAACAGATTCTGAATATACAGTCCCCAGAAATCTATGCAGCTGCAATCCACCGAACTCTTTAGATCCATTATATGAAATGGGGAAAAAGGTGATTTGTCCCTGACCTTAGTGCTCCAGTGAAGACAATGCACAGTCAGTGCTGTTGCAGGTCTGTTATCATGCTGGTCTTCATGCCCATTATACTCCATAAGCTGGGAGGATAATGGAGGGGAATGTATTGGATCCGAAGGTTTTGAACTAATCCGCAAGTCGGCAAGAGAAGGGCTGAGAGATTCTCCTGGACGTCGCAGTACGGGAGTTCGGGGTGGACGGAGGTCTGCGCTCTCCCCACGGAGCGGTGGGCGTGTCCAGGCGGCCGTGCTGCCGGTCTCACACGTTGGTCTCCTTGCGCAGCCTCTCCATGCGCCGCACGTTGCGCTCCACGGCCACCCGGTTGGTGATCTCGTTGGCGCAGCCGGCGGGGAACCAGCCATGCTCTCCGTCCCGGAGCCTCTCGCCATGGTACCAGCCTGCGATGGCACAGAGAGGTCAACCACCTGCCCTCCGTGCCCCTCCCTTCTCCCAGCCCAGCGGTGCCCACTGTGCTCTCCCTCTCACTGGTCAGTCTCCTCTACCCCCAGCTCTCCAAATGTTAGTCACGACGTCACTGGACAGTTCAGGGGAGTTGGAATACAAGTATGCATGAAGGAACCTAGAAAGCCTAGTAGAGAGAGTCTGCACCAGTGTACCCCCATTCATTTCTGGGTGCTTTTTATACATTAAATGTAAGCAATCTACTGTGTTACCATTAGGAAAAAGTGCATATTGGGTATGAATTTATATTTAAATCCCAGCACAGAATGTAACTTCTGTAGACTGACCTGCTGCTCAACAATGTCAAACTCCTGCAGGGGTCCTATCTAGCTTCATATGGCCACAGAGTTACAACAGGTGACCCCCCTCTCTTTCTTAAGCATGAAGTTTAAAATAAGTTGAACTAAACTGGACGCAAAGGTCCAGTCCTTCCTGTGTCACCCCCAGCGCCTCCTGGCCCTTACCCTCCTCCTTCTGCAGGACCAGGACCACGTCTGCCTGTTGCAGCCCCAGCTCGTCGGGCTCCTTCGGCATGTAGGCTTTGATCACCTCAAACTGGGGTAGCTCTGAAAGGCAACACACAGGTTCACACCACCGGAATCCTACTCTCGTCCCCAGAACTACACCACAGAGCTTCAGCGTCCTCCTAACACTCACAGACACAACATTCTCTCCAGCACATGCTGTGTACTGGCCTGCACAGATGTATGTTGTTTCTGAAATACTGCACCCCCCTTAATTCTGCCACTGTCAGTCACTGCTGCATTCTTTCAAGGTAAATAATCAACATACACTTAATTCTCACCATTTTGAAACTGCTACACAGGAAATCCCAATATTAAGCAGAAATGCTGATATGGCTATAACCTACTTCATTCTACATATGTTATTGGGATAGTTATGGAAGACAATCATCAAACTTCATTATAGACTGAATCCCCTCAGTCCTAACACTTTGACAATGCAAGAGATTCTCCACACTATCCTGTTTCTATGTGATGAATCAAGACACATGTCAATTCTCTTCATTCTAGCTGGGATGATCCCAGAGAGGACATGAGGGACGCATTACCTTCTCTGCAGTAGAACATACCAAAACAAAAATAAACAACCTGGAAACATACATGGAAACACGGAAGATTATTTTAAAAAAATCAAATTTGTCAGAACCTTTTGTGCTTTCCAGTTCAGTTTCAAGTTGCTATCCCTGTCCAGGAAAGGCAGGAGATAGTAAAGTGGGCTACATACAGTATATTATTTTTGTACAAAATGGATTTCTGTAATTTGACCAAGCAGTACCTTCTTTATTAATGTTTTTAGCCTGCTTGTGTCTCCGCAGAGCTGTTACCCAGCGAGCCCGCTCGATCCTGACAAACAAAACAAGAAAACAAGAACAAGAACAGCCGGTTTGCATTTTATTGCGCTGGAGAGAAGGGAGGGATGAGACGTGACCACTAGAGGGAGCGCAAAACTAACTCACAACAGTACTTGAACCATTGCAAGGTTCAGTCAAGAGTTATGACTCAAAGAATCTCAACAGGAAGTAATGCACATGAAAATGCACGTGCCCCTTTTCAAAACACTGGTTATTCACACATTCATGTAACTGGGACTCGAACCCACCAGGAGTCTCACAGCTTACTACCCACTACACTGTTTGGTCCCTGAAGATTACAATCAGGGGGAAAATTTATTATACTTCTACAGTTATAATATACCCGGAAACATGTTTTTCTAAGCCTGAAAATGAAAAGACTACAGCTGGGTGCTGTCTCTAAATAACACCGATGCAGGGTTAAAATCAGGGTGGTAATCCCGTCCTGACAAATTCCCGTTCACATTAGAATAATGGTGAGAGAGGTGACTGACTGGCTCTCCGTGACCAGGGCGATCTGCTCTGCACGTCCCTCGCTGTTCTTCTTCATCAGGACCTTCAGCGAGTACAGGGAGGAGCTGCCCGTGACTTTGCCAGTGGGTGAGGGCTGGACCTCGCTCTTGTCCAGGATGTCCACCTCCACGTTCTCCACGGTGGCATAGTCCATCACCACATAGCTCTCCTCACTGCACCCAGACGGGCATGAAATTAACAGGACAGACAGTTACAGAGACGGAGATTTACTTATTCTAGCAGCATCCTACTTCACCCCAGAGAAAAAGAGCAGAAGAGTCATCGTATCAGAATATCAGACGTTGACCACAATAACAACACATTTATGATTCATGCAAAAAAAATACAGGCAAACTGTCTGCAGTATAGTAAATATATTAACCCCTCTATGAATTAGGCAGACTGCCCACTGGGAAAAATCAATCTAATGCATATTAAGGTAGACAAGAAACAAGGAGGAAAAACCTATCACATAATAACTACATAATGTCATGCTGCAGCCCTTGCCATAAGCAATTTGCAGATGATGTATATGTACAGTATATAGAAAACAATGTATGAACATTAACAAGCTCTGAAAAGTTCAAATGATTAGAAAGCATCTTGAAAAAATCCAAATTCAGCACACCTGGGGTGTCAATGGCATTAGCAGTATAACACTAACGGTATTTCCACCCTCACCTATTTGGAGGAAAACACCATGACTGAAACATGATACAAGTTCATAGCAGCTGCAATGGGAGGCAAATGTTAGAAAGCTGTAATGGAAAAGGAAATTCTAGTGCATGTATGTATGGTAGGAGCAGAGAAAGCAATCTCAGATTTCAGGGTGATAGCGCTGGACTGCTTTACCCCGGAGAGCACCAATAAAAGTGTGCTTCCTCTTTCATTTCAGCTCATCAAAAACCACAAAGACAATAATCTTTCCAGCACATCAGGATTAACCTGATGTACCCAAAAACAGACAGTGAAACCTTTCGGTATAATCTAGGACTCTCGGGCACAGAAGCTCTTAAATGGTTTCCTTCTGCCCAGGATTAAGAGGCTCTGTTCCCTCCCTGTCTACTTGCTATACTGGTCATGTTCGTGTCGCGCAGCTCGGAATGTGAGGTCATGACCTCTCGTAGCAGCCCTGGAATTCAAAATGAAGCTTGGATACAGCCTCCCAGTCCTACGCACTGGAAGAGAGTCTCATCAGAAGGGAGCTTCTTCAAAAACGAAATTCCAACAGTAGAAGACCATGACGACCAGATGAGACCAGGCTCACCTCCTACTTTTACTTGGTTGAGCATTATAAAAAAGTCTGAATTCCACCATTCTGAAAATCGATTAATACACTTAACTTTACAATATTCTGTAGAATAAGAAGTGCATAGATGCTTCGGAATACAAGATCATGTCAGAGTTCTTCGGTCATTTGTACTATTAAGTATAAAAATAGTTATGCAAAGTGTTGAGAGTTTTTGATTTTGAGGATAATCTTAATATTTAAATTAAAAAAGGAAACTAGATACATTTTTACTTTAGCATTCCCTCACACATTCTCAAAGGACCCAGTACAATAAAACAGTCACTAGCAACAACAATTCCTTTTTTTAATTAAATCTCACTAGCACCCAAACCAAATAAGACTCCTAGTTAGGTTACAAGCTCTTGCGTGGAAAAATGCAGAGGTGGTCACTATGGTATGTTTAATCTAATAGTGTTCTGAGCACAACAAGTCTAAAACAAGTGTGAAAGACCAGGCTCTACTCACCTGGCCAATACAATTAAATCCATGCACTGCAGCATAATATAAACTGCATTTTCTTAGATTGTAAACCGCAGATCTGTAGGATGCCCTAGTGTTCTATACTAAAGACCAGTCCTGGACTTTGCCCTCTGAATGTAAAGGCAGCTATGCTGTATAGCACCTGCACCTGCAGTGAGCAGAACTGCAGAAGGGAAACCGGGATGGGTGTACTGACCTCTTCTTCCTGGTGACGATAAGCACGTCATTGAAGAGGAACAGGTAGTAGCTCTTGTTGCTGAACGCCTTCCAGAAGATGCTGAGCTCTTCCGTGCAGACAGCCAGCTCCCCTCGCTTCAGTAGCCACCGAGAGGCCGAGATGAGGGGAAAAGGCTGAGGGACACAACAGGCTGGACATCATTTTGAAGCCCGAGCTGAGGACAGGATTCCACTTCCGTTTACCTCGCAACGTCTGGCGTATTCCTGACGTACTGATGGGGCAGTTAGGGACGCTTTTGGAGAATTATATAGAAATCTCAGCCATATGACATACAGAATGCCAATCTGTATTTATCAATTGGAACTGCACAAACACTACCACTTTGCACAAAGTCCTGAACTCAAAAACAATACACAGAAATACTGGGAAATATAAGCTAAGTATCCTGCAGTTTATGTACTACACCAGGGATGTCCATCCCTGTTCCTGGAGAGCTCCAATCCAGCTGGTGTTATGGGTCAGTCTTAAAACATTTGGTTTCATCACTGGAACATGGGATTTGAGCACTTATGTAATTTAGCGATGAGATGAAAAGACAATCCCCAATACCCTGATGTTTTCAAGGACCACACCTGGTCATTACAGATCTGAGTTCAACCAATTTATCTGCCAAATTGAGCAAAACGTGTTCCAAGTCTTTACGAGAAGATTTAAGCTTGACCTATAAAATCGGCTCTTCAGAACCACGGTACATGATGGTGTACATGATGTTCAGATCTACATGATACTGTTACTAGTGTTCCAGTAAAAAAATTGTGAGTCAGGATGAAACAATAATAAAAAAAACAATAATATTGGTAGTATACAAAGTGGCCAAGATATTAGGAACCCTCAAGTCAAAAGTACTGACTCTTTTAATGGCAGGCAAAGTCTTCCTGGAGTGAGTTCAATTCTGCAACCTCATCCCAATCTCAGCTGAAAATGAACCTGCCAGAAAGATGGAATAGAAGTTCCAGCCATTCTTCAAATACCCTCAACTGATTATTTGGTGGGGCTTCCTAATACTGTGGCTATTAGAAGCATCAGCTCCAGGTCAGCACCTGGTCTTATAAAGAATACCTTTATCTTGCCAAACTCCATCTGTTTCTGGATGGTGTACATCTGCTCTGTCCTCTCCATTCTCCTGGCTCCATCATTGCACTGTTTTACCAGCTAAAAAACAGAGAGGCACTGCAGTCAGGACACGTCTCCACAACAGAGGTAAATATGGAGGAGAAACTGGACAGGCTGCTCTAAAAAGGCACCCTCTTAACTGAATAGAGCAATAGAGTGCATTTCTTGAGAATCGATTCTGGATTCTGGATCCTAATTTCCCTACGGGATTAATAAAGTATTATCTATCTATTTTGCCATGTATCTGATACAAAGTACATAAGTAGTTGAAGTTATAGAATGATCCTCAGAGGAAAAAATAATTGATTCCAGGCAACTGTGTGTGATACAAAAAAGCACATTTCCCTTTAACTCAGATGTTTACAGGACGCAGTGAACTGGACTCTGCCTCTCCATATGGGTTGAATTATGACTGGTATGTGCACCAAAGGAAATAAAGAAACGAGAGGCCTTGGCTGGAAATGCAGAGGAGGCAAACAAAAGAAAGCTAAGAGAATAATGCACTTTTACGGTTTTACTTTTCAAAGCGCATTTACAAAGGAATGAAATCAACTGTGTGACCCTTTTCACAGTGGACTAGCAGGTAGCTTGAAATAATAGAAAAACTATCCCATTAAAATGTTCTTGCTATACTTGTCAGTGCAGGGTGAACATTTCAAACTCGTGTGCGATAATGCAGATGTTCTAGTTGGAACAAGAGTAACACAATATAAATGTCTGGGATAAGGAACATGCAAAACCCTCCTCTGATACCCCTAAATATTACTCATCATCACACACAGATATAATTCCACTGTACAGTATATGACAGAACTTTTTAACACTGGGTATGATATACAGTATTTTATATCAATGAGACACTCATAGGGTTCCTAGTATTTGCTCCATGATTACTTCATCACCATGTTAATCTCGATCTCAACAATCTCTGAATGAGAGGACTGCAGTACCTTACTGATGGCCTTCAGGGCCCAGACTGCTGCGCTGTACTCCAGAGTATCAGGAGGGGTCTTCTGGCAGATGGTCTGGGGGGAGGAGAAAGTGGCACCTCTTTATTTGCAGTCAGCTGACTTTTCTAAAGTACTACAGATATCTCTTGCAGATCTGTTCACCTGACTTTCTTTGCAAATAAAAATGTATTTTTTCCTTTACATTTTATAAACAGTACATTTTAACATGAGATGTAATGGCTCATATTAGTATATGAGGTTTTGTCTTAAGGTTTTGGAAACACTACATTGCAAAGCCTGCTACAGTCAGGGGGCTCCACTGAAGTTCACTACGGGACAGAGCTCTTCTCTAGTTTCTTTAATAAAATTGTTGTTTCGATATGCGAATGAAAATACAAGTGTGGCAGACTTGTTTTCTTAACCCATCACAGCATTTCCCCTGTACTAAAAAGGAGGAATGATGACAAATGTATTTAATAACAAACAATAAACCAGAAGAATATAAATCTGCCAGCCAGGCTTCAAACTGCAATGTTTTGTGCAGAGGAAGGGAGCTGTGATAGACATGGGGTCATATTTATCAACTGTTCTCTGATGTGTTATATTTCTGTCATTGAAAAAAAAAAAGGAATACCACTGTCCAAATATTCAGTTAAATGTTTTTAGAGGGTGAAAAGGGGGCCTAGTTCTGTGACAAGATACAGCTTCTTTTTTATGCCGATTTCACCTGGGGGACATTGTGAACAGGTGTAACCCTAATACAATAGAGTATGTCTGACAAACATAACCAGCTCAGAAATAATTCAACGCAGTCTCTCACATCCATGAGCAGGGGCAGGCGGGTGACTCTCTGCATGGGCAGGATGAGGAAGGAGATCATGGGCAGGGCTCCGCAGTCCTCGCTGACCTCGATCTGCTTCAGGACCTCCTTGAAGGCACTGTTGCTCGAGCTGAGTGTCACACACAGGCAGAAACCAGGGGATACAAGAGATGGATCATGAAAATGAACCCTCCTTTAAAAAGTAATGGTATGTATTGACGTTATTAAAATAATTCCATCTGTAGGACATACCTAACAAGGCTACAAAGAAAATAAGTTTTGCCCCTTGTTAAGTAACAGGGGCCATCGTATAATTATGCCACTGATTGAGAGCATGTTCTACTGTATAGGAACTGTAAAGAAGGAAGTCAATGATGTGTAAACTGTCTTGTTATAGTAGGTGTAGCTTCTTGTACAATGAAGCAGGGGAGCTCATATCATTAATTCCAAGAACGCTGCTGACAATGTTCAAGACGAATATACTGTGAAATCAGAGTTTTTGCTTGCTGAAAGCTGAAAGCTGGAATCCTGATAGTTGTCATTTTTCAAAAAAGAATGAAAAGCCCAGGGCCAAATGTTTCCAGCTGATTTGCATTTTGCACACCAAATCTAGTAAATCTAGAAAAAAATAATCCTAGGATTGCAGCTCTGTTGGTTAACATCCAACTGTTTTATTTTGCAATGGCCTATCTAACATCAGATCAATGATTAATCGAACTGCAAGTTTCCTTTGATTCTTTTTAATTGTCCCCCCTATTCTGCTCACAGCAGCTTCTGCAGGGTCCTCTGCTGGTACATCTCATTGGAGCAGTAGATGATGTAAGGGTTGAAGTAGTTGGCGGCATGGTTCTGCACGATATCACTGATGTCTCTGATCACTGGGTTTTCCTTGTGTCGCTTTTCCAGGTCCTCAAAGAACCTGAAAATAAAACATGGGTTTAAGGCCGGAGGTTAATTTCTTCCTTGTCTATCACAGAACAGTGTACAGTCATGATCTGCAATATACAGAACACTTACTGCAAACTGCATTTGCTTTTAGCTATTGTAACCTGACATTGTAAAGCACTTTTATAATAATGCTCAACATGAAGAGGTATGACAAAAATAGCACTTAAAAGTGTTAGAGAAATACATTATCCAAAGCATTGATGTATTGCACTCCAGAGCTGACAGAGGGGCTTAGTTAGTTTTGTGTTTCTGTTAAGCTTGGGTAATAAACATAGAAATTCTCTCAGTTAGATGTTCATGAGGCACACGCCTTTCAGCCCTGAAAAACTACAAAAACAACTCAAACCCCAAAGCTAAAATAAAAGTATTCAACAGCAAGCAAGTTCTTCAGTGGTACATTTCTTTTATTGTCTTTGACTTACTTGCAAATAATGGGGCAGAATGATTGGAGCATCTACTAGGTGTTATGAATAAGGCATCACAGAAGACTGTTATAATCTATGTTGATAAACTTCACTCCTTTGAAAGCCAGTAGGTGAAAGAACAGATTCCCTGTGTCCACTGCAGACAACAGCAAAGACATCTGACAAGTGCAGAAGAGTTGCATAAATATAAACAGCTCCCTAGGGTCCAGATTTTCAATCAACACAGACATTGTGCCAGACACATTTGCGTTCGTCTTAAGAAGAAATCAGCACTGCCAAACATCTGCTATTTGTGATGATTTGTGTCGGGGCTTGTATGAAGTTCCATGTAGTTTTTAAAAACTGCTTTTAAAATCACTGTCAATGTAAATTGAGTCACGAGGTTATCAATATGCACCTTACGTATTACTCAGCTACAGCTAAAGAGGAATAACTTCTCCTTTATCATAGACCTGAACTAACTTTATAGCTATGTCAAGCAGAAACAGCTTGACCCACCTGCGCCCAGTTTAAGTAGTAAAATCAATGGAAAGCTGTGTTCTACTGCCAATGAAGAAATCACTCCTCACCAGATTTAACCAGATAAATAGCAGCTACTGTAAATCCCAGCAGGTCAGACGCTTGACATTCTTCAGCTCTCAAAGGCCAAACTCTGTTTCTATTGAATTTGTATTGTCAGTTTTTTTTCCCCCATTACTGTTAGGGGAGGATATAAGAGAAATTTTCCGATGCTGAACCTGTCAAACCATACCACTCTGCCAGCATTCCAAGCACACAGCAGGACAGGAGCACCCAGGAGCTGCGGTCACAGAGACAGTGTTACAACCAATTTACAACCAATTCTTCACCGAGGAATGAGACTGGCCACTGGCCAACCTGCAAATTAATTCACCTCTGTGTGATGGTCAGACACTCAGTGATACATAACAATCGGCAGAGAGAAAGTCCCTACCCTGAGCACATACAGCTTGGGCCAAACCATAGACATAAAATATGTAACAGTGTTAATTAGCAAAAACAATTACTCCACCATTACGTCACAGTGCCTTGCAAAACCCTGCAGTACAACAAACAACTCAACGTACAGACCAATAACAAGACAATACATGTGGCTGGGAGTGTGTTGTTAATTTCCACTGTTGAGTGTTTATTCATATTGTTTAGCAATGTAACACATTTTATTGAATAAGCACTGCATGTCTAGAAAGAACAGGTTTAGATGCCTGAAGGTCTATAATCCCAGTGAAGACAATGGGTGAAGCCAGCCTTCAGACAACTGTAGCATCAGATTCAATGTGATCAATGCAGCTTCGCAAACATTAAACTCTATGCTTTGCATATACTCTACTAAAAACACAGCTGGAAGCTGTAAAGCAGGTTCTGCCATAAACCCCAGTGGAATTTTTATAGGAGACAAAGAGTAATTCACTCTACTATAACTAAAGTATTGAACTTGAAACAACAAACAAGCAAAAAAGCATATTTGCTAGCTGTATCTGAGAAGTTTATTTTTTGCATCAAAAAGCATTTCCCCTTCACACACAAAAAAGCTGGGAAACTCTGAGCTAAGAAAGTTTCATTTGGAAGAAAATAATTAGATCAAAACTGGTGTATAGCTACTGCTAGATAGAAGTATATGTTAGACTGTTTAATGTACTTGCAACAGCAGTAAACTAACACCCAGACAGCTTAATTTTCTTTTTGTTTGAAGGAAAGAGGGTTTTTTTTCACCACTGGTAAACTGCTTTACTGTAATATGGTATAGATTATTGCTGCAGTGTGATCCTGCTGGGTGTGTCCTGCCTTGTGAGACACCGCTTCAAAGAAATCAAAGACATCAGGTTCATTTCGACTGTATTCAGCCTGGAGTAACAGGCGGGGAACATGCTGAGCGCCTGGAAGGAAAGACAAGTGCCCTAAAGAAGCCCAAGCAGGTCTGTGCAAGACTAAAAGACTAATTAAGTTTTCCTTACGTTACAAGTTAGTGAAGAACTGCGTCACAAAGCGTGGCACCTACTACAGTGTGGGCAGACGTTTTGCAAGTGCAACATCTCACCCTGCAGTAAAAAGCACCCATACTGCTTCCTGTTTATGTAACTTTAAGTGCAAGAGTTTATTCTACCGAGTAGAAGAGAAAAGGATTTTGCTTAATCTGACTGTAATTGAATAAACTGTATATGAGGGATGGGTACAGCTACCCCTGCCAGGATTCAAACCCAGTCCCTCTGGGCTCTATCCCTAGACAGTGGTGAACCCAACTGTGCCCCTGCCACTGGAGAATTCTACCCAGTCTAGGCTACAGGGGTGTGGCAGCACTTTCTGTAACATGCCCTGCTACATGTGTGTGCCTTTCAGCTCAAGGGAGCCTAACTCCTTCAGGAAAGAAGAAAGACTATCCTCTTTTGACCATAACACAATACTGTCCTCAGAACATCTAAACTAATCTGAGAAGGACACTCCTGTACCTAAATTGCCAAGTCTGAATTGTAATGTTTTGATTGCTGTAACTCTTTCCATTAGTCACTTTCCATTCCTGTGGTGACAAAAAGCAAACAGTTGTAAAACATAATCATTAACCATTACATTAATCTGGGGACTATGCTGCATAGATTACACCATTTTGCATTTCCCTACGTTCCTTCCATTTAAAACTGAACATCTGTTCCCAGGTTTCCCCTCCTGCAACTATGCTAGATATGACTTCCTTTTTAGATATCACGCCAAAGGCAAGTGACAGCTTCCAAAGCTCTTTAATTCTAGGCTTAAAAGTTCGTAACGCTTCATATACAACAGTTGCCCTTCAACTTATGTGGAGGAAATCCAATTGCTGTACATTTTATCTGCAGTTTCAGGAGAGAGGGGAAAAAAAAGCACACGAGATTCTAAACATAAATCAGACACCTTTGAAATAGTAACGTGCAGCATTAATGTCTTTTTAAGTAGTTTACTTTCGAGCATGTTTCTTTTCAGCCAGAAGTGCCTATTGCATCAGACTGAACCAAGAAAGCAGGCAGCTCTCCTATCGCCAGGAAAAGATCAAACAAGCAGGTACACGTACAGTTTTACTGGGAGATAAGTAACCTCAGCCAGGTTCTGATAGCAAAGGAACAAGTTTCATAAGCTTGTTAAGACACAGCCTGCTATTCCTAAGACTAAGGAAGAAAAAGCAAGCATGAGTCAAATTACACTGGACAAAGACGGTAATCAGTTTAATCAACCTTAAATCTCTGTGTTCAACACATTTACTACACCTCTGGGTGTAGGTAAACACATATCTGTGGTCATTTAAATTTGGAAAATAAGAAGATCAGCCTTCTGATTAGAAGAATCCTGACTCTAGTGATGTAATTATTTTGATATAAGTATAATACCACTCAGTTTATCAAACTTTAACATTAAATTGTCATAACACTTCATGTATCACAATCCCTCTGGAGGTAACTTCTCTGATGACAAAATGCAACCGTTCACTGTCACATTACTGTGCTCTATGCCTTCGACGATTTTCTCTAAACTTACAATGACTATTCCTGTGAAAGGTACTGTGAGTCAATTAATAAAACCTGCTGGATGAGCTCACTTCTGCTTTCAACTCTGCAAAAACCCCGCCTGTGGCATTTGGCTTAATGTGTAACATGATTGCCACACAAGTCACGCCAAAGCCTGGGCTGCTTCCACCAGAAGCCTCTCTTGACAGCTCATGTGTACACAGTTGTGCAATAGCCTAAATTCTGTCCCCATTGGCTGCAGTGGGAAACCTACACCAACCTGTCCAAGAGGAAAGAGCAGAGACGCCAGCCTGCTCCAGCTCTTTCCAGTTTTGACTGAAGCAGAAAAAAAAAATCCCAAACCACAAACCGGTTAGAGATACAATACCTTTGAATTAAAAGGTAAGCAAGGAGCAACATATGCCTTGCAGGGAAATGTACCCTGAAGCTTCTGTGTGAATGCTCGTGGGAGACACAAAACCTGCTACACAGACACCCTGCCCCTCCTGCCCCCTGGGCAAAGTGCTCACCGCTGGCTGACCGCCTGGATGTCAGAGATGTTGGAGAAGAGGTGATGGTGCTCAGTGCTGTTCATGGTCCGGCGCAGCTCCTTGCTCCCCTTGAACAGACGGACCAGGATGCCCAGACTGTGCAGGTAGGAGTATTCGGATGTGATGATCTCGAAGATGGCCTGGCGGATAACAGGATTCAGTAAATGCCACAAGAATTAAATCCGACTCCACAGGCGCATCCTGTGGAATTCATCGCATGAGTCCGATTTATTGAAATTAGCAGATGATAAACTATTGAAGGGCACCAGGCACAAAACAGAGAAGACACAAACACTGGTATTCTGTCTCCTGGCATTGTAAATGGCTCGACGCAGATGGCCATACAGCTGGTCATGCCGGTTGCTGATATTTATCCCAAAATCTAAATTCATGTGGAAAACTGGATAAGCCAGTTTTGATTTTGAGGGGAAGGAGCTCAGAGAAATAGATGAATCAGATAAAGCACAGGAAGCTTGAAGACCACAGGCACAGAGACAGAAAGGCAGGGTGGGCCTCACTGACATGACAAAAGTGAGCTCCAGCTGCAGCACATCTATAACGAGAACAGATAATCCAAAACGAATTCCACTAAAACACTTTTCTGGACTAAAAGGCTCCCAGTAAACATACCACAACCATCAGCTTTCAGATACCAATTAAACAACAGAGTAGCACGATGGCTTTTCTTAAAAAGCAAGGCCCCGATGTTCTAAAAACCACTGTGCTTTTAGACCTATTATGTAAAACAGTACAAAGTCCTGTCAAGTCACACCTCCCTGGCAGATTTGCCTTACTAGGTATTTCCTGCTCAGGCATATAGAGAGCTCTGCTTTAGCAGAAACCAGTTGCTACAGGACTCAACACGTTTTGGTCTGGTGCTCCTCCACATTTCTTCACCCAAGAGCATGCTTTTCTTTACAGTTTAAAAACACACTTATGTTTTAAAAAGGTTGACTAATTTCAAACTCTTTTCTGACCATATTTCATCCTCTTACCTCTTGTCGTTTGCGCTCCTCTGCTGAGATCCTCTGAAGAATACCTTGTTCCTGCACCTAAAAGGAAGGCAGCATGGTGATCTCACTATTAACTCAGAGTATTGTACTGAAATGTGCATATTAAAACTGGACATACAAAAATGAAGCATGAGTTAAGTGAAAGTGATATAAAGAGAAGTGTATTATCTGCTTAATGGCTATTTCCACAGTTCGATAAACTCAGAGGATGGTGTTGGTTGAGCAATTCATTACTTTACTAATATATGACACCAATTTGCCTGCTCATACAAACAGTGACACAAACATTTTATTGGCTTCCGAACCATTATTGAATCCCAGCTGATATTTTAACACTGTCTCACAGAGTGATGTTTTCAGTGCTTTTTCTTGTCATAATAAATGATCACATTGCTGATGATCACTGCACTTCCAAATTCAACTCTGAGCCCTTAGAAGAACAAGTATCATTTTCTCCCTCCAGTGTCATTTTTTCTAATTTCCCTAGGAGTCGATGATCAGGTTGGTCCAGTTTCTTTTTTTCCCAGAGGACGGTAAATACACTGAGGTGTTCTGGCATGCATCTCCGTCTTTAGCTTGGGTAAGGTGCAGCTTCTTAAGACTGTCTCCATTTGCACAGTGCAGTGTGAACTGAAAAAGCTATAGTATTACAGCTTCTTGTTCAAACTAAACAAGCCCTCCTAGACCACCTGGTAAAGCTAACCATGTGACAACTGTGACAGAAAAGAGCACAACCCACTGTCCCCTGCAGTTCTGAGAGTAACCCCAAGCTTTGTAAATTCACGACATTCCAGGCAAACCGCATCAACAACTACAGTGTGTAAATTGAAAGAGGATCTCGGTATTGAAAATAAACAATAATTTATATACTGCAGAGGTAAAAAAGTACGGTCTTTCATTGACAGCTAAAATTTGCAATCCTATTCAGTCCTTCTATGCACAGTAGAAAGGAAATTACCACAAAATCAGACCTAGTGAAGGCTGCTGTATACAAGCCAGCAAAAGTCAGCTACCAAGTACTGGTACTGGAACTGTGTGTTACCCCAGTTTGAGAAAGACTGAATGCACAGACACACAAGTGGGATTAAGTTATATAAATGCACAAAGCTTATAAACTTGTGCTGTTCCGATTATTACTTTGCTTATAAAAACCCGGTATGCATAAAACAAAACAGTCTGTATAGCTCTATTAGCTGGGCTCTGTCGGGATGAAGTGACAATTACATTTACAAAAGAAGTGAAAAAATGATGAGGAATATCTGAAACAAAACTAGATCTACCAATTCCATCTGATAAAGATTCTCTAAGATTAAGCTGAAGCTGCAAATAAACCACCAACACAAGTCTTCTAGCTCTGTACTCGGCTCTCACTTATCCTGTATTGAACAGAAAAAAGCAATGAAACACTGCTCTCTTTCAGGGTTCTGTATCCCATGCCTTCTTACATCCACTGCACACTGGTTTTCAACTGAGCACATTAAAAACACTACTGGACCAAACAAGGCTCCGATAAATAACACAAGACTACATACAGTACAAATACTGCCATCACTAAGCCCCCAATTCTGTTGTGTAACAAACTCCAGAACCTGGAGACATGATGAAATATACTCTCTGTCCCCCCACACGGCACCACTGCTGCTCCGCAGGGAGGAGAGGAGCAGTCTCTCACCTGTGGCAGCTGGCTCCAGGTGACCTGCGCCGGCCGGTAGCTCTTCACCACGATGCCCTGGTCGGGCTCGGGGTGCTCCAGCTGCACGAAGTCGTCCAGCAGCTCGTCGTCGGTGTTCTGGTTGGTGGAGTGCAGGCCGCGCTCCCGGATCTCCTGGTACAGCCGAGGCTCTGCGGACAGCAGGCGGGTCAGGAAGGAGCAGAAAGCCTCCGAGACGGAGACCTCGTCCCCGCCGAAGTCCAGGGACAGCTGCAGGGAGCTGGTGGCCAGCGACAGACGCCGCCACGCCTCACCCATGGGCCCGCCGCCCCTGGTGTCCCGCGCCACGCGGGGGTGGAAAAGAACAACCCCCCCCTCTCCGTGTGATCACCAGCTCCCTGCCGCCTCGCGCAGGGAGGTGACACTCCACTGCAACATCTGACACCTCCCGTCCAGAACCAGTTTCTCATTCAAATCACCCAGTCAGTGATGGCAGGCAGGCTTAAAATATTCCATTGCCAAAGCAGTGCGAGCTCTGCAGCTACTGTATGGTGCCTCAGCTTAACAGCCAGACTGCTCAGCATGTATGATGATTCATTCGAAGAACACACATCGTGGTAAATATTCCATTTAGAAAATTCCTATTAATATATATATCTTCCTTTCACAAAGTCTGAAATCTCACTGTAATTCATAAATAGTTCTTTAAAATGAAGAATTCTGAGCTGCTCAAAGTCGTGGATTGCAGATGCACGTGCTCTCTAGTAACTGAGTTTTTAAAGTCCTCCCTGACACGCTTCAATCGTAATGTTAAAATCCAACAGGAAGCTGACTGGTCAGTGTTGATGTGCCTCTCATCATGACTGTGACATCATCATTGGTGTGAAAGTTCTACAGACAGGGTCTGCTTGGGGCGTGGCGAGCGGATTGGTCGTAAACTGAGTGATATCTGGTTTCTGACAGCCAATCAGAACCACTGAGGTGCTCAACCCTGGCCGTACACAGAACGTCTGCAAGAGTCCAATTCACTAGATAGTGAAAAGGCGTCACACAGGCAAAGCAGAGCGATTTACTTGGTCAACTTCTCACTAACACAAAACCCAGTTTCAAAAATTAAACTCCAAGGCAACAGCTGTTCCACGATTTACTGTGAACTGGTACCCCTGTTCTAACTTCACTTCAAATTAACAGGAAAATAATCGCTGAAAGAACCCAAACTAGAAACATAGTAGCCCTTCAATTGTGGAACTCTTACTTGGTGTTCTTATTATGAAAGTGGAGTGTTTATGAGAAGAAGGAGATCTCCCTTTATACTCCAAAACTTTCACCAAATCATGGTAAAACCACAGAATACAGAAAATGGTTATGGAATCCTCAATTAGTACCAACATGTCAAACACCATTTGGTGTTTTACAAGTTAACTAAAGTTCTCTCATCTTTCCAAGGACAGCCCACCCGCATGATGCCCACACCCCACCCCTAAAACACAAGGGTCACGTACCATCTTTGAAAGAGCCGCTGTGCTTCGTGTTCCTCTTCCGTCCCAGGGTTCTCTGCATGAAAGACAGCAGCAGCACCAGTTTACCAGTCAGGTATACAAGAGGCTCCATGGCATGGCCACAGCCCAGCTATGAGTAAGTAGCATGCATTATGCCTCTTCGTTTTGGAGATGCATCCATTTTTTTAGGATGTGGAGTTTATTTCCACTTCCTAATCCCCCCCCACCCCCTCTCAAAAAAACTAGCCGCTCTCTCAGTTTATAGAAGTGGGGATGTGAGAATAGTAAGCTTTAATCAGCATCAGAATAAAACAGGAAGGAAACCGTCCTGGAAATAAAGCATCATCACTGTATTCTCATTCTATTTAAAATTTTCGCCGTCTCCTCCTCCCATATTAACAGTGACTTATTGCAAGCAAGAGGGAGAATACGAAGCCTGACTGAGAGGCTTGTGCTGCTTTTAGGGCTTCAAAATTTCAAAAACCACATTTTGCAGTTTTAACTGATGAAGCCAGGCATCTACTTTAATTCCTTTCCTTTGAAATACAGTATGTGCACACAGCAAAACACATTTAAGCACTTGGGAGCCCTGGAATAGGTCCTGACAGTAAGAATTACTAAAAAATGGCTTGAAATATTGTTAATGACAAAAATGGCTTTCATTTGTATAATTCCAAGGGATTCAAACTTGTTCACACTGAGAAGACCCACTTCATTCATTTCTGAAGTGCTGAGCTCAACCAGGACATTTAAGATAGAGGGGCCGAGCATGTCGAAAGTGGAATATAGAAATATAACATTTCTTAACGTCAGATCCAGCTCTTACAGCACAGTGTCTAACCTCATGTGCCACAGCCTCTGATGGGATCCATGGGCCAGTGTCTCTCACTCCAGGGATGAACAAACAGGACTAGCTTAAAATGCCCAAGTCTTGCATTGCAACTGACAAAAACTAAGGACTAAAGAGTCACCAGTAACCTAACAGCAATGTTACACTGCTGAATTTCTTAATGTACAATTGCTTTATTTCTCCAAGCCATAACCTTTGCCTCCTTGCTCTCCCACACCACAACGCAAAATTGCGCAACGCAAAGCTCTTGTGATCGGAGTCCTCCAGCTAGCACAGTTTGGGTGACACACCAAGGCAGAGACTCTGACAAAAACAGAGGAGGACAGCACCTCCACATTCGCCTGCAAGGGGTTGCATCGTTCATGACCTGTTTCTACATGTGTCCATGACAAACTAGGAAATAAATACATCATTATGAGAAGGAATTCATACCCTAGGTCCTTATCAGCTCCTAAGAGGAGACAGTTTGCTCCACCTCTGCTACAAAATAGACCATCCAAGAGATACAAAACCCCATGAACGAGAGCTTTCTTTAGAAGGTGTCAGTCCTCTGTCCTGCACACAAGTACAGTCCTTTGTTTCTATATTTAAAACAACGCAGTGCTTTTACCCTGTGCACAGAAAGAAACATGCCACAACAGGCTGCAAGAAACCAGTTTTTTTTCCCGCAACTGTGATTTTTGGTTGTGGTTTGCTATGCCAGCTCAAACAGCTATGGGGTATCCGCAAGCTCTCACTTTGTAGGTTCAGAGCAGTAGCAGCTTCAGAATACAGCTGCGGACGTTTCATGACAGGCTGGACTTGGCGGTTTAAAGAAATCTGATTAAAAAAAAAAGGAGTTTTCGTCCAACACACATTTTTTTTTTCTAGATAGGAAATACACACGCAGCAACGGGGAAACCATTCTCAGGCCTCACCTTGCGGCCAGGGCTGCGGGCACTGCTTCGCGGGGGCTGGGAGCCGGGCTCTTTCTCCTCCGAGACGGGCTTGAGGGCGGACAGCGTGGCGGGCAGCGGCAGGGCGCCGTTGTCCAGGCTCTTCACGGCGGCCCGGTACGACTGGTTCCGGCGATTCCTCGCCAGCGTGCAGTCCTCCTCGTCACTCTCGTGGCCATCCCAGGACACCTCCAGAGCCGGGGCAGAGGCCCGCTTGTCCTGCGCGGGCTCCAGGGGCACGGGCAGGGTGACGACGGTGGTGTGGTAGCGCACCTTGGTCCGGCTGGCCACGGCCAGGTTCTTGGGGATGATCTGCTGGGTGCCCAGCTTCAGGGCGGCCTTGCTTTCGGTGCTCAGAACAATCTGGGCCTTTGCCGCCTTCTCCTCCTGAGCAGAGGGGGCGCCGGTCACGTGGGGTTGTGGGGGAGAGCCCCGGGACTGGCTGACCCTCTTCACCAGAGGTCCGGATTGGCTGTCCAGCTGCAGATCGGAGGCGAACTGGTTCTCCAACAAGAGGGGAGCCTGATCTCCCACGAAGCCATCAGACCGGCGCTGAGACATCCCGCTACTCGCCCCCTGCCCTGATTTTCTATACATCCTGCCAGACTCGGCACACGGCTTGCTGTACCTCTGGGTCTCTCAGCCAGAAGCGAGCAATATACTGCTGGTCATACTGCACGCAGAGACAAAAACACGCAGGTCAGGTCCCGTGTCTTTGGGGGGGAAAGATCAAATATGTGTAAGAGACACATTCTGGGCTGCATTCTGAACAGTGAAAGTTACCTGATATTAGGAACTGGAACAAAATAAAAACAAAAAGTCCTCTATTATAAAAACAAACCTCAGAGGAACGAAGCCAAATACAGATAAACCAAGGAAAAGCACTCATTCCTTTCTGCTACATGACATATGCAAACATCCCGTTCCAAAGGGACTAAAAACTAAGAAGAATAGATAAAACGAGGGAGTACGCGTTTCAGAACACTGTATATTCTTTTTAAGCATCTAAAAAACGAGAGAACACTAACAAAGTCGGATTTATTCAGCAGACTTTGCGCTCCCTTCGCATGACTATCTCGACACCGGCTGCCACGCGGGGGGTTTCCCAGTCATCGCGAGGAGCTCGTGATGGTTACTAACTCCCTCCCACTGACCTGGACACTGTCTGCTCCCCTCCTCTGTCCTGCTGAACTGGGACAGCCACAATCAGGAATAAAACCACACGCACAGACTGTGCAAGGAACCAGAAATAATAGTATTAAAACAAACGTTTTCGGGACAAGTGTCAGACATGATTTGACATCAGACCTAGAATCCAAGTTAGAAATCAAATGGTGATAAAATCATTAGAAACCAGTCCGATCTTCTCAGCTGACCTATCAGGTATACTGTATGTAAATATACAAGTGTGCCCTGAACTTTGTACTGGTCTCGTTATGCCTTCGGTTTAATACCCGAGAAAAAAAATCAAGCCATTGTAATTAAATGGCAAATAGTATTTTAATTAAGAAATGACAGCATTGAAAACAAAGAGAGAAATAAAAAAAGACGATTGACATCACTAAAGACATGATCCCCTAGGTGTGTCCCCCCCCGTGATCTTGGACACGGACGTCGAGTTTTTCCAGTCTGCTACACCTAGTGTAATCCCACCTTCCCCACTGTGCTACACGTCGTCACACGAGAGGAGAGCTTTCGCTTTTCCACGAACAAAAAATATCCTGCAGATTGACTCCAGGTGAACCGCGTTAATTAACCATTCTCTCAGTCTTTACTTGCGTTAATCTTTCTGCAAAGCGGCGTTTTTTTTTTCTCCGTAAATAAAACGCACTTTACTCTGCACGCCAATAACATCGGAAAACGACACCAGAAGTCACAAGTTTTTGTAGGGCAGAAAAAAACCCGAAACACACACAAACAAAAAAGATTTGATCTGTAAACTGTCAATCGTTTAACCGTCATTTGCAGTTTGTCGGATGTCGAGTTTATTTACCTTTTTTCTATGCAACTCGGTCCAGCGGGTCTCGCCTCCTTTTGCGATGCGTCCAAAAGTTTGTGTTTTCATTAAAAACAAGGCGAGTCGGCGCTGCTTTCGTGCCTCGCCAACTTCCCATCTGCTTCCCCGACTGTCCGTCAGACTGCTCCGGTGACGTCACTCCAGGTGTGCCTCGGCCGACCTGCCTACCTGTTACTGTAAATATTACCCCTAGCCAGTGTCCTGTCACAGAGTAAACAGTTTGCAAGCTAAAAGGGCGCAGCCTTGATTTTTGCAAGTGCACGCAAAGTATCTTATCTACTGGATCTCAGTAAGGCACTTGACTGATATTATTCAGCGAATTAACGTCCTTTTGAGGCACAGGCGGTGTTAGATTTATCTGGGATTCTTGAACCACGGTTGACTTTAGAAGTCAAAATTGACTTCTAAAACAATACATTATTTTCCAAGAGGGGTTTATTTTGTGAAACCATGTGGTTCCGTTTCCTGCATGTGGATCTGTGGATTTAGCACTAGGTTCATAAAGGCAAGTGCGATTTATTCGCAGTTTTGCTAGGCTGAACGCAAGTCGGTTCTGTACCGGAATCTTGACCATCAAGCTGAACCCCAGTCTTTCTAAATGGTGATGTTGATATGATTCACAAATAGTTCATATTATAGGTTGATGTGATACCTGGTTCACCGTTTGTAACTGACATACGTTATATTAAATTACAATCCTAAAAATTGGGTGCATGTATTACACTTTTAGTACTGTATCTAAAAAGGTGTATACTGTATAATTCCTAAATCGCCCTCGATGTTGTAGGTATAGCAGTGACAACTTGTCATGTGGGTAATATTACTTTCTATATACTAGAATACACGTTAATACACGTTCCCAATAACTATAAACAATATTTAACGAAGCTTATGTGATATTTTATGAGTGGCGTGCTCATTCGTTTGTGAGCGTATATACGAAGTTAACTTCAGTTTTGCTTTATTAAAGAATGCGCGCCCTCTGTTGTTTGGTCTCTGTATAGACATACTGAGAGAAAAGTCGAGACTTGGGTAGGCTGTACAGTATCTCCCGTCCCAGTGTGTCTTGTAAAGACGGTAGATTGAAGAAGCTGACTTCAGTATAATAATAATTGAATAAACACAGTTGACCTTGTTGAACTGTATTTTGAAATTGGTGTTAAGGAGAACTCATTTTGTACCTGTACAAACCTGATTGATAGGTGAAAAAACTAATCTTAATATTAAAAAAAGAACTCAGGTTTATCCCAACATCTCGTTTTAACTGTGACAAAAATAATGTACAAAAATATACACAGCAGAATGAGGCTGAAATTGAGTGCATTACAACACTTGTGACAGTCTTCATTATCACTCAAGTCCTGGTTTCAGCATAAAGGAAAATCTTACACCGAAAGTGGAAGTTATCATTGCTTTTTTGTTGAACTTTATTATGCTAATGTGTGCCTCAACACTAATAGACAGTGTGTGACTGGCCTGATAAGAGAAAAAGGGTCCTAAAGGTTTAACCTATTGAATGGTTTAAGGTGTAGCTTAGTGAATAATGAAGGAGAGGACTGAGAAAAATAAACTGTATTCAGATTACTTTAGCCAAATACTATTTTAGTTTTAATCAGGAACATATGGTATAAAGAAAAACAGGCCCAAATGCCCATGTCTGATGATTGTTTTCTTGTCTAGTTGTTACTTTGGACCAATAGCATGTTGAGTTTGGTGTTTTGAAGAAATTTAATAGGTGAAACTCTGTATCACTCAGGCATCTTGGACTCATTTCCATTCCTAAAGTCTTTCCATAAGCGTACACAAAAAATTGGCTTCAACACAATTTTGCAAAAACATGCCAACTAAAATGTTCTTTGGATACAATTTATCAGCAAAAGCAGGATTAATGCGTTTAGAAGTTCTGTTTGAGTAAAGCTGTCCCCACATCACTGTCCTTATCTAAAGAATCCTTGTTCTGAGTTGTTTTGAGAAAACTTTTAATTGCAACTGCGGTATTTCTTGGAAACAGAATATTACAATTACGTGGATGCACGAGGAAGGCTGCTATAGACAATTTTCAGAGGTATCGCACTGCACAGCCAAACAGTTTAAACTGCCTCTGGCCAGTAAGCAGACATACTTCACACACAAAGTGTCTTTTCCTAGATGTGAAAGAGAACAATGCATTTAAACACTTAAGCTGCGGCCACTCATTGCTGTTCATTTGATTGCATGTACAAGTTCAGTATTAAGCAATAAAAATGAAAATTCAGAGTTTATGTCCAGTCTTCTGTGTGTACAGTATGTGCTTTATCTCTTTCAAATGTGTTTTTAAACCATGTTTAAAAAATGTGTTTTAAAAAGATGCAGTGCAAAAGGCACAACCATATTGTACGCCTGTGTCACTTTTCACATGGCAAATATACTACTACTTCAAAATGAATAGCCAGTTTTTTAATAAAGCACAAATTAGGCAGTTTACAGTATCTGCCAATTACGTACAGTATATACCTTACTTTAATCAGTCTTGAGTGTAGAACTGATGCACTGGGACTCAAAAGAAGCCGAGAGGCTGCACAATAATACAGTACACAGCTCAACAAACTTCCATACTCCAGTATCAAGAACTCGAATGTAGTATGTAGTTTGATTTGCTGTTGACTAGTAATTAACATGGTCAAAGACATAATCATGCCAAAGGTGCCATCTAAAGTGGAATACAGTGTGGAGAGGAGAGGGAAACCCTTACTGACTTGACATCAATTCCATGTTTGCTCTTAAGGTTCCGATCACTATGAATGGCATAATTCGTCGTGGCTGCTTAGCCACAGTTCTGGTGTGTATTGATACATACCTTTGTGTACTTGGTGTCTGCTTCCTGGCTAGAAATTCAAAGCCTTGAGTTGATTCAAACGGCTTAAAACTTCTTTCTTTACAGAATCTCCCAGGCATAACAAGTATGATTCTGAATTTATTGAATTGCAAGAGACAGTCAGAAAACTCCTTTTTCTTTTCTTTAATGTTTTTTACACAAATATACCAAAATGCTACATAAGCAAGGCTGAAAAAAGTAACAACGGAATCAAGAAACATCACAGGGAATTTAGGGTTCAAGTCTATATAGTAATACTAATGGCAATGGTGTTCTACAACGTCTTTATATATATATATTTCAACATCAATATGGCATCCAATGTGGTGAGATAAATGTTCCCAGACATTTACCAAACTTGGAAACATTTTCCTTTATTTCATGCACGTTTTTATATATATTTATATAATCTTTAATTTGCAAAAAATTTACATCCAAAGCACATTGATTTATCCTACTGCGCTACAGCCAGTTCACAGGAAATCAGCCCATATATACAACATTCAGACACACTCATACAGCAGTTCTCTGGGCCCGTGAGGTGTGGGCAGATTCATGCCTACAGCAAATAGTTTAAAGTTTCAATTTGCACAGTCTAGTGGTCTACGCAATAAGAAAAGCTTGCAGGCAGTTACTGGGAAAACTTTCGAAATGGAACCACATTTCTGTGCAGCTGCCCAGGTACCTCTTTTGTAATCATTTTGTAACCAAGGGTGAGGTACACCAGCCATATTCTATGACATATCTGTCCCCTCTGTTTGGTCCCATACAGATCAAGTATGTGCTACAACCATTATCTATGAAACCAAAGCATGGAGTGAATTAAAATTTGGTGCACGGTTAACATGTAAGCTTACAGGGTGTATTACTGTTAACAGTTCTTATGCTCATTTAAAATTAGATTACTTTGTTGAACGGTCAGATAGGGACAGACACCACAGAATGAAATTGTTCAACTGAGTTTTGAAAGAATACAGATGTTCAGTGCAGCTGCTGAATTTGCTCAACCGTACTGTATGCGATATATGTTAGATTATATAGTCTGTTATCTAAGAAAGAGGTTTTAATTAATATAAAGCCTTCTGCTGTCATTCAATAAGGTTGGGGCCAATTTGTCATTAACTTAGAAATTACACCTTCATTTTGCTTTGTGTTCTTGCTTTGTGCTTTGCTTTGTGTGATTATAAAGATAATAAACTAGAATGTTGCATTTGAGTTTTAAGTAAAACATAATTCAATTTTTTATCAATCCATACAATACACAATATTTTATGCAGAGATATTTAAATTATGCCTGCTATTTTTTTACTATTGGTCTTAAAAGCTCCAGTTTCTTTTTGCTGTTCAAACTGCATATAGTATAAAGAATTAACAATTTCACCTTTTTACTCAGTACCTCTTTAACTGCTGAGGGGTCAGCCAGCTTTCTCATCCTCTGGAAACGGAGCTGCTACACAGGACAGCAATTCTTGTGGCTTTAAAAGACGACTGATTTGCACACTGATATGATGTTTCTTAACTGTTGGTCAATAGCCAAGTTTAAGGGGTATAAGTTTTCATCAGGAGATACCTTCACTGCACTTCATGATACAGTTAATTTGGCAGTACAGCCAAGTGCTGTACCATTGCATTTTCCCTGTGGAAAAGCAAGGATTCTAGACTGCAAACTGTCTTTTCTGTTGTGTTGCTCCCTATAATACTGGCACTGTACTGTAAGGAACAACATGTCATACACCATTGTTTCTTATACAAAAGTTCTTTAAATTGTTAAAACTGCATGCACATCTGGGTTTCACCGTAAGAGCTTAAAATTCAGAAAGGATGGGGTGCATATAATATGGTCATCACTGTATTTCTCAAAATAGGAAGACAGGAGCCAGGCCCTATACCTGCACAGATGCTCTCACGTTAGCCTCTACCCAATCAAGTCGTTTACCCGCAGGATAGTGCTTGCTTCTTACGCAGCAGTTTTTTTTAAAAGATTTGCTTCTCTTGATAAAATGCTTCAATTCGTACAACACAGAGGAGTGGTTGAAAATTATTATTTGCATTTCCATTTCTTGGAAACTGGTTATAATGGAAAACCTACACGTCGGTAAACATGCCGGTACTTTGATTAACAGGAAGAGTTTTTTCTAAAAAGGTCTTGAAGCAGGATGCTACCTAAAGGCAAGTACTCACTGTAGAGCCTTCCTATGATTCTTATTAAACAATGTAAGAGACTGTAGAGTACAACGTTGGTGCACAATATGGAGGCTGCTAATCCAATGCTGGGCCTATGACCATTTCTGTCTTGTACTGTGCATCTGTGCTCACTAGCACAAGGCATGTATACCCTCCACAGACTCTCAGAGTCCAGGTTCACAAGCTAACAGACCCTGGCCAGGGGGCAAAAAGAGGGTTCTCCCCTCAGAGCAGGAGACAGGGAGGTTTGGTGAAGACAGGGGGGGAGGTTTGCAGTGTCAGAGTAGAGGCAGGCCTTTACTGTTTTGCAATGTCTCCTTTCTTTAAGATGATCTGCCGTTGCCATGGCGCCAGCTTGGTCTCGTCGTAGCCGAGGGTCCTTAGCTTTTCCAGCTCGCTCTTCTCCTCGTCTTCCTTCTCCTTTTTCATCCTTTCTTCCTCTTTTCTGTTGCCACGAGACCAGAGTTGATGTTAGTGGAAGCAAACTACCTTCCAGCCAATAGCCACCACCAGCTTCTGCTATTCTCTGACATGAAAATAAGTCAGAGCTTCTAGTTTAAGAAACTGCATTATAGTACCTACCAGATAAAGTGAAGAGATTATATAGATGTCGTTTTACCAACTAAAAAAAAAAAGTTTTCCTGTATAGCCAAAAAATGTGAGGTTTTTGTGTTTATTATTGTATTAAGAAAGCCTACATGAGAGTGGACAGTGGTCAGCCCATCTATCTCGTTTGTCTGCTAATAGCCAATTGATCAGATCAAAATTGATTTATTGTGATAGAAGACACCAACACACTCCTGAAACCTTGTGTATAAAGAAGCACTTCCTCCTCTTAAATGTCCTGCCTTACGCTGTTTCTACTGTGAGCACAGACTTCTTTTAAAGTCATGCATGAGGTCACATGTTCAACCAGGCCAGACTGAAACATACCTGTTTGAGTCGCCATTGATTGAACTCAAGGAATTAGCTAATCAATTTCATAAAGTGGCAGTTTAAGGACAGTGTCTGGGGAATGGGTAGAATGTCTTACCGTTTTTGCTCCCTGTGTGACCCAGAGGAAAGAAGCACAAAGAGATATCAGCACAATGACGGACAGCAGGTGAGTTTGTGAGTTTGTACACACAGCCATCCTTTGCCTTCTTGGAGTTGAGAAAATAAAAAAGTTACAACATTACGTCTGATACAACTTTATAGAAATCACATTACCAAACAACCCATAAAGTTGGACTCAAATTACTATTCTAATACAGAATTTAGAAATGGGCACTTTTTCTAACTTAACTATACTGTAGAGTTGAAACATTGGATTGACACACATAGGTATAGCACATAGAATTAAAGAAAAATAGTCACAAAACTATCTCCCTACAAAACTGAGAATAATGGTCTCGTTAAACAAAATGCATTTACATAATTCAGATAGAATAGATGAATGGTTTAAAATGCACAATATACTTAATTGGGGAAAAAGAAACTGAATAAATGTCCTCAAGAAAAACTGAAAGGCAATAATGACAGAGACACAAACAGTGCAACAGGCAAGTGAGGGATGGGAAAGACCAGAGGAGGAAGTGTGAAGGTGAAAGATTAAAGGTGAAAGGTATTCAGACTGTGGGGAAGGTCTGTCTCTCACTTACTTCTCCTCATCCATCTTTTTCTTCATGATCTCCCTCCTCCAGGCAGGCATGGCAGCCAAGCGGGCCTCCTCCTCCTCAGTCTGCAACACAAAGTCCTAGACTTTATACGAGGCTAATCCTGATTAAAACAGAACATCTCCCCGATGCCCAGAGTCTCCGATTCAGGCACGCTAGCGTCTTTCAATGCACCCTTCCAATTCAGATGCATGTTTCCCAATGGTTCAGACAATGTCAAGTGGTTAAAAGCTATAGGTTACAAATCTGCAGGATGGTATGGTATAGTACAGTATGGGCTCTAGTGGAAGTTATTTTGGGCACCCCTAGGGAATTCATTTTTCTCTTTCCTCATATTCAGAGGAGCTGGGTCTAGACATTGACCCTTTTTCTATGCCACTGGTTCCCCATTAAATGCAGCTTGATCCATTGCACATCCTGTGATGTCAGCCCTGACCCCTGTGCTTATGTCCCTGAAGTGACAAAGTTCTGAGTTTTAACCTCTTGTGCACAATCCATATTATACTATAATATGCAAAGCTTTTCCAGCAATGCACATACTGTAGTACAAACGTTTACATGTAGATGTGTTGTTTAGCAGAAAAGCCATCAGTTCTTCTCCTGCAAATAAATACAGTAGGTCTACGTTCCTTTATGGACTGCCAAAGTCTTCCTCCTTATTTGCACATGCATAAGAACATAAAGGGATTTCTCCCCCTGTCACATTGATATTAGCACCACTCTAAGCAGAGAACAGAAGGCCCATTGTAAAAACTGCTTTTTTCACAGTGCAAGAAAATGTACAGTATAAATCACAACTCTTGAAGCAGTTCAAAGGGCTAAGCATTGCAGACAGGAGACCTCAAGACCACACCAGACAAATAAAATAATCACATGCTACACACCATGCCCACTTGCTTCCCTCCAGTTGAACCTGATAGGTTGTCCTCGAGGCGCAGCTATGTTTTCTTAGGTTGTACAAAAGCCCCCAATAACATTGGCTGCTTGCAATCCTATCCACTGTACTCTACCAAATTGAAATCAGATTACCTCAGAGAAGGAGGTACCCTGTGCAGCTCATCTCCACTTGACTATAGATGAAGATTACTCTCAGATTGCAAACATGAAGGATTTTCAGTGGCTGCACCCCCCAACCCCTGCAGGTAAGATAATCTACAATTTTAATTTTTAATTATTCCCCTGGGAATTATAGAATGAGAAAAAAAAATAGGCATGGTGAAGAGACACCTGTTGACAGAGACGCAGGGAAAGTGAGTCACCATGGGCTAATGTTACAAATGAGGTCGAGTGAACATTCTAGTTTTACATGGTTAGGCAGTAATTGTTTAGCTACCTCACAGCATGGCTGTTTTATCTGCAATTACCAGCACTAGGCAGGTTGAATGGTATCTGTCCCTCATTTCATTTCAGTTGAAGGTTCCCTGAGTGACAAATGATAGGAGGAGAATTAAACAGCTGAAGTGTCTCGTTCATCCAAATCACCTGTTTCTTTCAGTGGGATATTTTTACAGCATGCAGAGGAAAAGGATTAAGGAAAGCTACATGATAGGTTTAAAATGGGTAGGAGTAGGATGAAACAGAGATAAAGGGAATTTGCTTTGCCATTTGCTTTGTATACACCTATGTCATTCTATATCCACGGGTCAGCTTGTTTCGCAAAAGCTATTTCAAAGGATTCTGCAGGACAAGCTGGCAAAATGCATAGCTGCTTACTAAAACGCTGTTTACCTACTGAGCAGAACTTCAGATGTTTCCTGGATACTTAAAAGTGCACTGTCTTCCTCAAAAGAATTGCAAGCAAACTTTTAATGTGTAAAAACTTCAAGCTTTTTCACTCGGACAGTTCAGAACCATGCAGTCAATGTTGTTTCAGCCACAGCTTTAAGACATTTCTGTTTTAGCTAAGAAGTACAACCCTGCAGACACCTGTGAGCAGGCATTCCAGGAGTACTTAAGATATGCAGGCATTTTCTCTTTTCTTTTAGGTTTTTTTGTTTTTTAGGTCTAAAGCTCGAGGTATTGATGAAGAGGAAATCCATAGGTGGAGAGTGCACGATCATTTCCCACTGCAGTCTCATCCGCCATTTAGTCGCTGGAGCACGATAAAGGAAGTACAGCCATCTGCATCAGAAAGTACTGTGAATGCTTACGTCAGTTTTCTAGGTTAAGGAGCTACTACACACTGATTTACCCTCAATAGGTCAATTGTCTTGACACCAGCTTGAACTCCGATTTAAGCATCCGTCTCTATAGTTAAAAGAAGAAACCCTCTTTGCCTCCGATTGGCTAAAAGAAGATCAGAAGTTGTCTGTTGAAGTGATCTTCCAGCTGCAGTAAGCCCTGGTTAGCAGGATAGGACGTTACACTAACAGGGTTAATGTCACACAGGAGAGGGATGCAATTCATTGAACAAGCCATATGCTTCATGACAGAAGTGAAGGCTCGGTGCAGTATGTCGGCTAAGCCTTGTAAGAAGGTTGGATCCAAGATCATTGTTCAAGGCACACATTGACTTTTGGCTTTCAACTCGCACAGTACAAATAAAAAACAACCTTATTGCTAATCTTTTCTTTAAAGAGACACTCAAGGGATTCTTATGTGACAAGCCCTGCTTTATTTTCTTGTTGGATAATCAAAACCAATCTTCTCAGTATTTTTTTCAGTGTTTCCTTTATTCAGATAAAGGGCCAATTTAGGAGACACTAAGTTAGTGGACACCCAATACCCAACAACTGCATGATACATAAAGCAGGAACTGCTGTGTTTTACTACAGACCTGTGATGTTTCAAAGACCAGGAATCCACAAAGGCTTTGCTAGAGAAATATTAAACTAGACCTAACTTTCCAAGTTGATTCCCATCTCATAAGAATGCACTTGGTCTGTTAATGTCCAATTTTATCAGAAGAACTGGGTTTTGTTTTACCAAGTTAAATAGAAGGCAAAAGGAAGTTGTTCTCAAGCTGTTCTACAGCACCCAAAATAGTACTCCAGCTCAGATGTCTGGCTTTACATTCTTGAAGTAGAGCACAAACAAAACAAACAACTTAACAAAACTGTTAATGCAAATAAATTTTATTCACAAGACGTCGTTGTGACTAGGTTCCAAATACACACCAGCAGCACACATCAAAATTCAAACTTAGAGGACACACATTTCATCTAGGTGCTAAAATAATCATACAGTAACTGAAGCCAAGTATACTAAATAGAAACAAAGGAACCAGCCACTGTATAACTACTGTAGATGATTAGGAGGATTGATCTAATTAGGGTTTTCTTAGTAATGGCTTAAGACACAGCCATGTTGAGACAGCTGAGAAACCACCAGCTCCATTCCAAGCAAGCTGCTACTGCACAATTATAGTATGTTGTACGCAGTGTGCCTTATGCCAGTCCAACTAAGAAATATGTATCCACATTGTATGGATAAGCCACTGAAATGTGCAGACAAACAACTGCAACAGCCTTGACATTTGGGCTTTAAAACATTATCAAGCATACAAATGTTAATGCACAACAAAGAACACAAAGGAAAATAAATCACTCTAAAAATGAAGAAAGAAATGCATTGCTTCCCTGATCTTGTTGAGAAACACTTCACTGGCTTTTTACCTCTGTGCTGCTCCTGCTCTGTCAGCCAATCCTTCTTTTAAACAACTGTACTCCAGGCAAGCACACTAGACCTTGAGTGACACACTGCACCATGGGGGGAAATACTCCAGAAGTCTTACAAGTTCTCCCACTCTTAAATTTAAAAAATGAAACCCAAAACATGCATGGAGCCCAATACAAACATATACACACAAAGAAACACCCCCTTGCCTCCCCAAAAAACATTAGAAACAAATTAGATTTTTTTAAATTTCTTCTCTTTGAAATAAACTTCATACTGTATACTTCCCATCTGGTCAATATCCCCTAGTCCACAGCTTTTTTTTTTTTTAAATAAGCCCTAACAAATCAAAACTACTGCATATCAATATCAAACTGTAGGTACTAGGAAGCACATTAGAAACGTATCTATTCCCACTTTGAGCTGTATTCACAAAGCATAGTATTTTCATCAATGCAGAAAAACCCATTGATTCTCCTGGCAGGGTAAACATTTACCATTATTCTTTCTAACCTTTTTAAAACAATTAGTGTTGCATTAGCGCACAGTTTCTACTCTACATGTCTGGGATAACATGCAGAAATTTCATATTTAAATTTCATTTCCGATTAAGATTCTCTCAATAACAAAATGATAGGCACCTGAGTGGGAGCCGAAGCCTATCCCTGCAAGCAATGGGCACAAGGCAGGATACACCCTGGATGGGATGCCAGTCCATCACAGGGCACACACAGACACAAACACACACACCAATTAACCTACCAGTATGTCTTTGGACTGTGGGAGGAAACCCACACAAACACTGAGCATACAAACTCCACCCAAGGGGTGGAATTGAAACCTATGCCCTAGTGCTGTGAGGCAACAATACTAACAAGAAACATAATTAATAGTTCAAGTACTGTAGGTACAGTAGCTGCGTCAGCATGCGTAGGTTGCAAAGGAAAAGGTAATGGGTTTATTCCATGCTGAAAAGAAAAGAAAGGTGTACTCAGACCTGAAGGAGGCTTCACGGCCAAAAGGTTGTGTTTCCTTTCTTTTCTTTTCAGCATGGAATAAACCCGTTACCTGTTCCTTAATTAATTTAATGTTTATAAATACTGATTCAAAGAGTAATAAGTTCTAGAGTACAGGGTGGTCAGATAGCACTTTCTGGAAAAGCCCACAGCAGACATTTAAACACAACCAGTCTTTATCACTTGGTTAGTTTAGAATCAACACAGCTGCGAAATAAGGAACTGGTTTTATCAAACCCACAGAATAGAACAAAAGGTCGTATTTGACTGTCCCTGTTACAGTACAGTCATTAGTGTACAGTACAGTGTTACATTTATCTGTGCTATACACAATGATTCTCATTGTGAGTTTTAAAATGTTGATTAATCTAGATTTTTTGTCCTAATTATGACTACTGAGTCTGATTCTATACTGCTCACTGCACTATAATTAC